CAAACACTCAAACTAACCACTAACTTTTTTCTCCTTACATAATTTCCCAAGTTTAGTAACATGTTTAACTTTAATAGTTTTTTTAAGATAATTACTTGATCTAAGCATACTAGAATTTTTATTAGGATGCCTAATAGGCATAAATTCATCATGGATTAATCCATTATTATTATGGGCAGCTAATACTTTACTAATGGAAAAACTTATATCTTGACTCATTTCTTGGGTTAAATTACCTAGAATGTTAAACATAGAACTAGATAGAAGCCCTATCCTTTTGCCAATATTATTAGGATTACTACTTGGCTGAGAATGACCTAACTTTTTTCTAAAAGTTTTTTTTTTGCTAACATTTAAAGGCTAAATTGTTTTTTCTCCTGCATTATACCCCACCTCTTAAATGTCTTGAATCTTCACTTCAGAAGTCTTATTGTCATTGACAACCTCACCCTCTTTTCTAACTGAATTAGTATTTGGATTATTCTCGTGCTCTATGTTTTCTCGATTTCACCTAATTGCTTTAGCACAAGACCCCTGCCTATGCCTATACTTTCCATACTTAAAACAAATAAGCTACAATCTTTCATATTCTACTTTCAATTCTTAGCCTAAGACTTTAAAAGATGGCACCAATTTCTTTCTTAAATCTATTTCAATACAAATGTTAGCGAACTTACCTCTAGAAAGTAAAGAATTATGGAGGTTAACTTTTAGCATTAATCCCAAGTAGACTCTAACTTGTCATAAGAATCTTTTACTATAAAGCTATTAGGAGAGGTCATGTATATGAGTTGAAGAAGTTATTTTCCTACAATTATAGTCTTTAGGCTTAAATAGGGGCCTTTAACTTTGTACAAGGAGATAACAATCTAAGATTAGCCAAAAGCCTTCAAGTAAGACATGCTTATAGTCTTCTATTGTCTCAAATTTTACTAAAAAAATTGTTATTATGGTTAAGGATTTTAAAGAAACTATTTTTTTCTCAAATATTACTTAGGTTATGGTTTAAATAATTAAAACTAATCGATTTACCCCAAAAGTTTGACTATTAGGATAAACTTTCAAAGAAAACACCACATCTCATTATCCTTTAGGGGAATCTTTAATTCAAGGTAAAAGTTATGAATTATGTTAGATATTTCTTCATTATCCTCCATCTCAAAGACAATATTAAAGTTTTATAACACAAACTGAACTAGAATCAAATCTAATTCTTTAGACTCAAGGATGAGTTCAACTCCTCCATTGAAGACTTTGAACTTATCTTGACCTTTTTTGTACTTTATTTCATCAAATTCAACTCTTTCATAAAGTGTTTCTTTGCTTCAAGATGCTATATCCCTCCAATATCCACTAGAGCGATGGACATAATAAAGGTTAGAAACCTCTCTGGTGTAACGCCTCAAATTTTGTAATATTAATTATTGTTATTTATATAAATCTAAATGTATGTATATATATGTGTGTATGTGTGTGTGAGTGTAAATGGATGTTGAAATTTTACATTGGATGCGTAATGATAGTGTTTTGTGTGTAATGAGTATGAATATATGTACATATACGTATGTGGTGGATAGGTGTATATATATGTGTGTATGTATGACTGGATAGGGTTGAAATGAGCTAAGTGCCTAAGTGCAGGGTGTAATACTGGGCTGTTCTCACTGCAGCGAGAGGATTCTATCTGTAGTGAGAGGGCCTTGAGAGGAAGGACCAAAACTATCACCTTCTCGCTGTAGCGAGAGACGTCTCGCTGTAACGACAAAGCGACAGTTTGGAGTACATTTCTGGGTGCAGTCTCGCTGTAGCGAGATTCTGCAGAAACCATGGTGTAGTTTCGTCTGATATTTTTGCTGCAGCGTGAGGGCGTATCATTGTAGTAAGAGTGTCGCGATTAGAAAGGGATTTAAAGGGGATTAGGGTTCGGGGAGAGTTATTTCTCCCTCTCCCTTCGAAATCCCTTGGATCCTCTCATACCCAAAGCCCTATTCTACCGATTAATTGCCTCCAAAGCCGTTCGGGAGCTTGATTGAAGGTTGAATCCGTGTGAAGAACGCTTGGAGGTGAGTTTTAATGGTTAGGGTTCCGTTTCTCAAACCCTTTTCTCTGTTTCTGGGTTTCTTTGGGTTCTCATGGAGTTCTTCCATATGTTTTAGGCCGAAATCTGTGTAGGAAATACGTCTGTGGTCGAATCCGAGTGTGGGTCTTCAATCCAAGGTAAGGGGAACTCTATCCTACTCTATTATATGTGATTTGCGGTTAATTGTTAAATATTGTGATGTAACTGAGTTAGAGGGTAGAAAATTGTTGAGAAATGTGGTGAGGACCGTGTGCCGTGAGATGTGAATATTGTGTGCGTATAACCGAAATGGATGAATGTGAATTGTATGTTAGATGTTGCATGATAGAATGAATATTGTGAACAAATGTGGGCCTGAAGGTCGTGTAATATAGATAAATATTGGCTATGTGACGTGTAATGTGAAATGAATGTGGGCTTAGTGCTGTGTATTTGAATGCAATGTGGGCTGTGTGCGTGTATAAGCATGATTATTGCATGCGTGAATGAAATATATGTGTGAATGGGCGTGTTAGCGCCGTTGTAATGTGCTGTGAATGGTTCAGCGATATACTGAGGGTGTGGAAGATAAGGACGGTAAAAATACCTTGGGAAAGAGGGAGTGGTGGTGACACCAACTGTGGAACAGGTGCACCACGGGTCACACACTCTTTTCTTGACTAGACCTCTGACCACTACTTTTATTGAGCGACCTGTGACTGCCCACGTGGTATCTGTGAGGCGAGGGTAACCGGCGACCATTCATGGTGTAAATTTATGATCACAGTGCCACAGTGAGTGTGACTGGCGTGCATATGCATGGGTTTATGTATTGTACTTATGGATGTGAAATGGTGCCGATGCCGTGAGTGCATCGGTTTAAATTGACATGAGCTGTGTGATAATGCTGCTTGTGATTGTGTTTGTTTAATGTATTGGAAATGTTCTAGAGGTGAGACTCTATGTTGATTGTGTGTTTTTGGGTAGTGTAGAGTACTCACCCTTATATTCATTTTTCAGGTAATCAAGACGATCAGCACCGGACTCAGTGAAGGGATGGATGGACTACTATAGGACTTAGCTTTTATTTTGAAATTATTATAACTGAACTAGTCTTATAGCAGTCATTTGATATTAATTTGTAACCCTTCCTTTATTTCAAAGTATTTTATGAAAATTGGTTATTCTAAATTGTGAAATTATTATTAAATTAAAATTAAATTCAAGGTGTTACAATGAATATGCTATGAATGGTTTAGCAATATACTGAAGGTGTGGAAGATGGGGACGGTAGAAATACCTTGGGGAAGAGAGAGTGGTGGTGACACTGACAGTGAACGTGGATGCACCACAGGCCACACACTTTCTTCTTGACTAGACATCTGATCAACACCTTTGCCGAGTGACTCGTGACTGCACACGTGGTATCCGTGATGCAGGGGTAACTGACGACCATCCATGGTGTGAAACTGTGGTCACAATGCTCAGTGAGCGTGGCTACGTGCAGTGCGCACGTGTGTGTATAATGTTTTGGTGCCGTGAGTGCATCGGTTGTGAATTGAAATGAAATGCTTGAAGGTGTTGCGTGTGATTGACTATAATTAAATAGAATATGTGAGAATATATGTGGAATGTGTAAGGTGAGTCTCTATGTTATGTGTATGTGTTGGATAGTGTAGAGTATTCTCTCTTATATTTATTTTTCAGGTAACCAAGACGATCAGCACCGAGTTCAGTGAAGAAGTGGATGAAACTGATATAAGACTTCGGAATTTATTTTGAAAATTGATATATTAATTGAGCTATAACAATTATTGATTCAAATTGTAATTCATTCTTATTTTGAAATACTTTGTTGAACTATGCTTTGGAAATCATTTGAATGAAAATTTTATTATTCCTATTTTTATGAAATCATTTATTTTAGAAATTAAATTTAAGGTGTTTCATGTGGCATGAAGATTTGTAACATAAATTTAATTATGAATCTTATTAAAATGAGTTTAAAAAGTGTATGTTTGCTAAGTTATATAAAAAATATTAAAATAAAATAAAAAATTTACAAAAGTCATAAGTGATTTTTATAGTTTTTTTCAAATATGGTTAGATAATTATGCATGACAGCCTAAATATAAGAATAACATATCTTAATTTAATTTTTTTAATTTTTTAAAAAAGTTAAGAGTTTCACATCTTTAATTTAATACTAATTAATAGCCGCATAATGCATAGATATTTTACTTTAAATTTTTTTATTTAGTCATAAATAATTATAAAACATTTTTAATAAAAATTACATATAAATACTTAAGATGAATTTTATTCTTATTAAAATTTTCATGAACTTGTAATCAATAAATTATCTATAATATACACATACTTTATAGTACTTAATTTCTTGTGTAATGTACAAATATTATTAAATTAAAATTAAAATTAAATAAAAAACTAAATACTAAAGTTAAAAGAGATTATGTGTTGTAATAAAGAAGACAATAATATTTAATTAAAAATGCTTTCACTTAATATAACTTTATGCATAAATTGTGAGTATAAATTTATAAACAAAAAATATTATATTACATCAAATAAAGAGATAAAATTTAAATTTATAAAAATTATGAAAAACTTAAGGTTTAATTTAGTATTAAATTAAAAGTAAATATTGAATATAAAAATGACTTAAAATGATGAAAATCATAATTAATTCTTAAAAAATATTTTAAAATTACAACTTATAAATTATATACATAAAGGTGGACAGAGGTTGATTATATTAAGAAGAAAAAATGTTAAAATGAAAAGCAGAAAGATGTGGGTTTACCGGTTTGGTTTGGGCTTCGAATGTGTAGAAAAAAGAAAGAGTAGAAATTGGGCCTGAAGAGAGGGCCCATTGAAGATAACAGACACGGTAAAGAAAAGAGAGGAAGAGTGAAAAGGAGGGATGGAGGAAAAACGTTAGCTGAGAAAGAGTAACCGGACACACCCATGTCCCTAACCTTACACCTGTTTTTATAATCCCATTCCATTCCCTTACATCCCAAATTGGCCGAGTCGAGTTATGAACTCACCCTAACTCGTTCTTCCCTCTTTCCTTCTTTCTCTTGTGGTTGTATCTGTGAGCTACCTTCGCACTCCTTTTCCTCCATCCCTATCCAACTCCTTACCCCTTTCTCTATATATCATATCCTATTCACTCACTCGCCTTCAGCTCCTTCACCCACCGCCATTCACATCCTTTTCGGTATTTTTTTTTCTTTTTCTCTATTCACTTCTCAGCTTCTATTCTCCCTCTTCCTCTTATTTCGCTACCAATTCTTATCGATCTTTATTTTCCCAGCATTTTCCCTTTCCCCTCTTTTACCTTTTGCATGCTCTTTTTATTTTTTAACCTTTTCTCCTCGCTTAACGATTGCACCATAAGGTTAACCACTCTGGATTTTTTTCAGAGTCTATCAGTTTATGCTTGTCGATACTTTGGATTTTAGATTGAGATGTTTTACGTGTGCCTGTTAGAGTGAATTGCTGGTCAATAGTGTTTTTTTGAAAAAAAATAATTTCGTAGAGAATAATAGGTTTTTCTTTTATATTATACATGTTAATTGCCTGGGAAAGTATCATGTTAGTTCCCAATTCATTCAATCCTTTTATTGTTGAAATGCAAGCTTGAGCAGTCCGTTTGGTTTGGTTTATGCATATGGCGATGTGATGTTTTTATTTTCCCTTACGGGTTAGTGTGTGAGAGTACGGATGAGTAATTGGGCATTCTTCGTGGTTCAGTGGGGCATTGTTATCGTTATTTTAATTCAATTATTGTCAACAATCGGAAAGTGCTTTGATGGGTTTTCATAGTTTAAGCTGATTGAATGATTTAAATTATATTGTAAGTGTATGGGGTTGTTTTGTTTTCCCTTTTATTACAATTGAAACCTTCTGTCTTACAGGGTTTTGCGAATGATATTTTCTTGGTGTTGTCACTTCAAGTTTGCTTCGAAAATTTAAAATTTGATCTTTGATGATTGATTGGAACTTCATTTTTTTCCATAGTTGAATAATGGCTGTTGAGGCTTCTGATAAACCAAATTTACCGCATGATTTTGATGATGATGATGATGGGCCAATAATTCTGAAAAGGTACTCATCAACTAAGAAAAATCAATTGCATTCGGAAGTCAGGAAGTCAAGTTCTCACAGTCATGATGGACAGTCATATAGACAAAATTTGGATGCGCCTTCTTCAAATGGCCAAACTTCTAGCATACAAAAAGTTAGTAATGTCTCATCTGCCAAGACATCGTCCGGGAAGAATTCAGTAGGTAGTTCAAAAGCATCAAATTCGCTTGTCAATGCCTCCTCTATGAAGTTGCCTGTAGCAAATTTGAAATCATCTTCATCAGGAGATAAATCAAAGGCTCTTCTGGAACAGAAAATGTCCATTAAGGTTAAGGAGGAAACAAAATCTATTGAACATTGTGCTAAAACTTACTCTGAAGATTCAGATGATGAGGATAATAAACCGTTGAGTGTTAGGTTGAAAAACTCTAACCATGATAACAAAGTGACCCCTGTTGTTGTCAAGAAATCTTCTGAAGACTCTGACGATGATGATGATATTCCTTTGTCAGCAAAGTTATTCCAGAATTCCAAAGTGGGAACATCTAGCAGTAACCATCGTGAATCTGATCAGAAGAAGCCTATTCCAAAAGTTCAGAAAGGGAAGCTAAATGGTTCCAGCACAAGTAATAAACAGGAAAGGGGATCTACATTGCCAGTTAAGAGACCACTAGATAATAGTAATTCCTCACAAACTTCTGTTAAGAAATCAAAGGTCTCAGATCCAGCTGCATCTATCAAAACTAAGGCAGTCTCTGTGAAACGAGAGATGAAGGTAGAGGAGGATGATGATGATGATATTCCTATTTCCCAGCGAATAAAGAAGTCAGCCACATCAGGTGATAAATCATCCTCGACCAAGAAGGTGTTGGCAAAGGTTACTAAAGTTAACAAGTCTAGTTCAACACCTTTTAAGAAACAGGCCAAAAAGAAGTTAAAAAAATCAGGCAGTGGTTCAGAATATTCCAAATCTACAAAACTTCTCCCTAGCTCTGGTGATGGGCAGAAAAAATGGACTAATTTGGTTCACAATGGTGTCATTTTCCCTCCTGCTTACCAGCCGCATGGGATAAAGATGCTCTATAAGGGAAAACCAGTTGATTTGACTCCTGAGCAAGAGGAGGTGGGATTTTGTCGCTGAAGGCTATGCTCTTAACATTTTGGGAACTGTTTGCTCTTGTTCCTTTTTTTAATGAATTGGGATCATTTAAGTACTTTTACGTAAAAGCCTCTTTCTCAACTCTTTCTTTTGAGTTTCTAAATTATGAACTTCAAAAATATTTTGTAGGTTGCTACAATGTATGCTGTCATGCGAGATACGGATTACATGCATAAAGACAAGTTCAAGGAAAATTTCTGGAATGACTGGCGAAAGTTGCTTGGAAGAAATCATGTAATTCAGAACTTGAAAGATTGCGACTTTACTCCAATCTATGACTGGTACCAAAGTGAAAAGGAAAAGAAGAAGCAAATGACTACAGAAGTAAGTTGGTAACTCAGTATACATAATTTCAGTTAGTGTTGTGTGCTTTAAAGTGGATTTAGGTTTGCTTCTAATATATACATTTTATTGATATGAGATATAATTTTTACCAAAGTGGGTATAGTTTTGCAGTATTGTTTACACAGTACTGCATTTTGTTGATTATACTGCAGTTTTCATTCATCTTATGACACACATTCACACACATTATATATGTGTCCGACTCCCAATGAAGGTGTACCCAAGAATGGGAAATTAAAATCACAGAGGCACTGCTGACACAGGGCAGTAGAGAGGACCAGAGAATAACAGAATTCATACATGGCATAATGAGGGCAAAAAGGGGTTCTGTTAGAATGAAATGATTGAAAGCAGTAAATGAGAGAGCTTCTAAAAAAATAAAGAAATATAAGTTGATTTTAACTTATAAGAAGTTTGATTCATTTTACTAAATTTTTTACTCTTATGAGTACTTATTGAAAAGTTTATCCAAACTGACCTTTGTATTACATAGTTGTTTTCAGTAGGTTCTTCTCCCGGGATTCAAAAGGTTCTCATTCTCAGTCAAGGGTTAAAATGCAGAAATGTTATATAACTTCTTTGTTTTTCATATCTATATGAATATGTTATGTGAATTGTGCAAAGTTTATGCTGTGTGAGCCTAAAAGGTTAATTCACCTCTTTTATTATTGTTGTATTGACCCCTTTTCATCTCCTCTTAATGTAGGAGAAGAAGGCATTGAAGGAAGAGAAAGTGAAACAAGAGGAGAAATACATGTGGGCTATGGTCGATGGTGTTAAAGAGAAGGTTTAAACTTCCCTCTCTCTCTCATCTTCTCTCAAATTTGTGTGGATTTCTTTCTTATAAATTTTCTAGAGGCTTTATAAACAGTAAGCAGGCCAGTATATTTTGCGTGAGGGGAGCAGTATCATGTTACCTTCTCTTGACTTAGTCTTTCTCTTGAAGTTATGTGTTATAGTTAATTGGAAATAGTAATACACTTACCCTTTATCTAACCTCGTTTAATGGTAGATTGCTATGTGAAATTATTAATGCAGACCAGACAAGCTCCAATCACCATCCTGTCATCAATTTAACATAGACTAGTTTCTATTATTAATTGAATTGAGTGAATTGCACCTTACGCACCTCAACTTTGGCCATGTGCATGATAGACCTTAGAGTTCAAATTTTGTGCCCTGACTTACTTTACATTAAAATATGTTTTAACCTAATATTGCCATTATTCATTACATAATCCTGATTTAGATGAAAAATTTTCATAATCTGGTTTTCTTGAGTAATTCTTGTATTATTGGAGTAAAAACATAATTCAATGATGGTGTTATGAGCAAGTCACATGATATTTTATGTAGTATATTTATTATGGTTTGCTTGACAAAAGGCATCTTGTGTGCAAAATTTGAATTTCACGGGGTCAATTGCACGTTGTTAAAACCCTAAAGGTGTAATCTGTGCATGACCTAATGTTAAAGAGCTTAATTTGCAATTTACACTTAAATTATTCTTGTAAATTAATTATCACTTCTTCCACAGTAGTACACTTTAGTTTGCTGAATTGCTGGCAGAAATATATTATATCATTATATCCATAAAATAGTTTTTCTGTATTCCTTACAATGCTTGTTTTAATGGAGCTGTTATGTGATGATGAAATTGCGCTTCTCTATGTAACTGTGTGACTGAAACTGTTCTATGTACAAACTTTAGATATATACACGCTGTTAATTTCAAATATATTAATTAGGAAACATTTTAACATGTGACTAATTTTTATTAAATCTTCATTTTAGGTTGGAAATTTTAGAGTTGAACCACCAGGATTGTTCCGAGGCCGAGGAGAGCATCCCAAGGTTGTTATGATAGTTGTTACTGGAACTAGATACATGTGGATTTTCCGATATAGTGGTTTCATATTTATTGGCTTTGTCTTCAGATTATTTACTGTCTTCTACAATTTATAACTTATACTTATTGACTGCAATTTTTATGTTACTAGATGGGAAAATTGAAAAAGCGCATTCGTCCAAGTGATATCACAATTAATATAGGAAAGGATGCCCCAATTCCAGAATGTCCTATTCCTGGTGAAAAGTATTACTCTTCCAAATCTTGTCAAACAAATTTATAAAGCAAAAGATATTGTATATTTTACCAAGTTGAAAACCATTTTTTTCTATCTTGGCAGGTGGAAGGAGATAAGACATGATAATACAGTCACTTGGTTAGCCTTTTGGAGTGATCCTATCAATCCAAAGTTATTCAAATATGTGTTTCTGGCTGCTAGTAGTTCCTTGAAGGGGCAAAGCGACAAGGAAAAGTATGAGAAAGCTAGGATGTTAAAGGTGCTTTCATGTTTTGTTTGTCAGCTTTTATGAGTTCCATGTTTTTCACATGATATTTTTGGGTGAATTAAAAGGCCCTGTCTAATTGTTGTATTTCTTGATGTCTGAGTGCAGGGTTACATAGCAAATATTAGGGCTGCATACACAAAAGATTTTACGAGTAAAGATATTACAAAGCAGCAAATTGCTGTTGCAACTTATCTTATTGATAAATTAGCTCTAAGGGCTGGCAATGAGAAGGTATTATGTCGGTATATGCACTTGCACACTCTCAATTGTGGTAACTGCGAGTTTTCCCCTTCACCAAAACAGATACATAAATGCAACATGTCAAGACACACGTACAAATGCTTATTTTGTTAGGAACATGCATTAAATTTTAGTCAGTTTTACTGCTAAATATTTGCTTGTTTCATTTAAATTGCTCATCATTCTAAAGAGAAAACTAATTATTTACTACTTCCTCATTTATATTTTGTTTTTACAATTGTGTTTTATATAGAATGTGACAAGGCAAAGGAAAGCAGCCTTGGCAAAGTTGTCACTATAAACTCTTGTTAGATGGCATCATCTTGGTTAATGAATAAAATTTCCTGAGGAAACTATTTGCATGAATGGACTCTTTTTAGTTGATGCCAAGGAGATATTCCTAGGTTCAGCTACTACTCTGTGAAAAATCTGCTTTGTACTATATTAATATAGAATATTTTTTCTGGTGTAATCCCATCATCAGTCAATAGAAGTATATCATTCTTTCAATTTATTGAAGAACTTAGTCCTGACCTGCAGCTTTCCTAGGGTGTTTGATTAGCTTCATTGCAGATGATTACTTTGATTTTTACCTGTTAAATTTGGTCATTTCTGAATTGTATTTGTTCAGGACGATGATGAAGCTGATACTGTTGGTTGCTGCACATTAAAAGTAGAGAATGTGACAAGAGAAGCCCCCAACAAATTGAAGGTAATGGAGTTTCTAATTGTTCTCTCTGTATTTTGCTTGGGGTTGATGAAATTTTAAGACCTGGGTTTTTTCCAAGTTTAGTAATCCCACTGTTAAATTTTTTTTATGGTAGCCTCCCATACTAATTATACTTGTTTCCTTTCTGTTTTAATGCAGTTTAACTTCCTTGGTAAAGATTCTATCAAGTATGAAAATACGGTTGAGGTTGAGCTTTCTGTTTATAATGCAATTTTGAAGTTTCAAAAAGGTGGGAAACTGGCTCTAATATTTTTGTTTCAAGCATGAAACTGAAGCACTTATGAGTTTATTCACCCCTTAATTTTCAGATAAACGCCCAGGTGATGATCTTTTCGACAAGCTGGATACAAATAAATTAAATGCTCATCTGAAGGAACTCATGCCTGGTTTAACGGCAAAAGTCTTCCGTACATTCAATGCATCTATCACATTGGATGATATGGTATAAACTGATTTGACATGAAATTCACATTCCTTGAGGATTAAAAAAAGAAAAAGGAAAAGATTAATCCCTTGTTCAGTTATCCTTTGTTTTATATACCTTCTACATATGCTGTTAATGATTGTATGTTTGGGAATCCTCCAAACACACAAGAAATCCATGTCAGAGTGCAATATAATGGGTCTGTACAAATACAAAAACCACACTCCATTGTAACATTGTCGCATATCTTGAAATTATTATGACTCCTGCATTGCTTTAATAAATATATTGTGCTATATAAAGATACCCTAAGCCAAGCGATCACTTATTGGGTCATGTATAGACGATGATTTCTTTTATCGGGTTGTATATTGTAGACTTGTGTTCTTAATTTTTTCGGAATTATGTGTTGACAGTTGAATAAGGAAACTAAAGATGGAGATGTTGGGGAAAAGATTGTTGTTTATCAACATGCAAATAAACAGGTGAATTGGTTAAAAAATGTTGCTTTATTATATCTATGATATTGCATTCTAGTATTTTAATTGGTGACATTTAAGTTGTGATGACTTTTGTTATCTATAACAGGTTGCAATCATTTGTAATCATCAACGTAGTGTTTCAAAATCTCATGGTGCACAAATGTCAAGGTTAACTGAAAAAATTGATGAACTTCAGGTAATGAGAATGTCTGAAAATTGAAAACCTGGGACTGCATAATTTTTCTTGAATTAGAGTAAACTGATTTTGTGGCCCATGAAAATATAATTGGAGGTGGCTTATCTTTACTCGTAGGCTGTTCTGAAGGAGCTGAAAACGGATTTGGACAGGGCAAGGAAGGGAAAGCCTCCTTCAAAGAGTTCAGATGGGAAGAGAAAAAAGAACTTAAGTCCTGAAGCGTAATATAGCTTTTCTCAACATCTTTAACCATTGCATCTTTACATATGATGTATGATTGTGGTTTATGTAATCTACAGGCTAGAGAAAAAGATATCCCAAACCAATGCAAAAATTGAGAAAATGCAACGTGATATGAAGACAAAAGAAGATCTGAAAACGGTGGCATTAGGCACATCCAAGATAAACTACCTTGACCCCAGGATTACAGTTGCCTGGTGCAAGCGGCATGAGGTTCCTATCGAAAAGGTCCTGACTTCTTCATGCGTTCAGAATAAGTTATTAATATTGTGTTGTGTTATCAATTTTAAGAAATGGCTATTTTGCTCTCTAAAATAAAGCATTGGAGGCAGGAGGTCTGAGAGACCCTTTTTTGTGCCTTCCTGATTGATGGCTGGAGGCATGTTGCTTCTTACCAGAATCAGACTAGTACATGTATTTTTGCCCCAATGATGAGCAATTGCTCCATGGGGTGGATACTACATATTCATTCATACTTGCGTGGTCAAACTAACGTAGCTCTGAGCTGATGCTTGATTAGCTGTGTGTCTTCCTTACTCACATTTTGTTACTTATATGTGCCACTTGTCTGATATGTTCAGATTTTCAACAAATCTCTGCTGGCGAAGTTCTGTTGGGCAATGGATGTGGATCCTGACTTCAGATTCTGAGATCTATAGAATGGAGCCATGTTTGTGATGGTTGGGGAAAACATTTCATTTTTACTCATTTCTTTCCTATAAAAATTATTTTTTTTTCCTGTTTTGACAAGTTTAGCGGAAATTGATGTTGTAAAAGTTCATCTAATCTAATTATGGGGTGAGTTGCCCCTTCTTCATTGACCAGTTTTCTATTTAAACTGTTAACCATTCATAGTCATGATTTTAATGTGATACCCATTGCCAAATGTGGAAAATGAGGTAAAGTTTTGTAGTTTCATTCTTTATATTTTTTATTATTCTGTGATTGGTAATCGTACTCGTTCATCTCGGAGCTGATTTCCCTTTTAGAGACAGACACAACAGCACAAGCCCGGTACAGGAACTTCTGGTCTTTTCTTTCTAATCGTGGGTATTGTGTTTATTTCTTCTAAATGACAGGGTAATGTTGGGAGTGAAAATGACTGGATCTTAGGGGGTTTATTTGCTTTGATTTTGCAAGCCTCTAGGGAACTTGAATTGTTTCGTTGTTAGTGTTTCAGATAAACAATGGATCATTCTTTGATTATAAGTTTTGATTGACCATGCAAAAATTACAGGTGCATGTTCTTTCTGTAAGAATGAAGTCTTTAGTTTGTGTGAATTTGATTCCTTACTTTCGTTAAAGGAAAAAGATAGTTGAACTGTTGAAGCATCCATCTGCTCGCAGCCTAAAGACTGCGTGATTGACTATTTAATGTAAGCATTACTAACGGATGTATTAGTAAAATAAATGAAATCTGGTGTCGAGGGTTTTGCCAAGCAACTTATCAATAGTTTTAACTTCTTTTTTCAACAAATTTACATTCATAAAATTAGCTAGGGCAACCTTTTTCAACAAGTTTTAGTTTATTTTGTTTTTTGTATAGGGGCTGAAAAGTCGGCAAAACTAACCAGTTAATTGAGCATATGAACACTGAAAATTATGAAATGTAATTCTAACCAAGTTCGTTGGATACGTTGGAGACTATATTTTTACGGGAAACCAAGATACGTTGATCATTTTATTAAATCAGTTCACGTGTTTTATAGTGCTTCCGTATACAGAATCTTAGGCAAGTTGTTTTTAAATGTTTCTTAAAAATAAACTAAAAGTATATTCCCCATAAGTTAATTTAAAGTATAAGGCTTACATTAATTTGATTTTAATAGATAGCTGCATAACCCAAATAGCTCCCTGGACCTAACTAATAAAAGTGTAGTTGTGGGAGCCACATCAGTGCACTTGCTAAGTCACTAAGATTCAACTAATGGTGAGGAGGTTTCGTAGCTTGCATGAGGGCATAGATGCAAACATCATTACCATCACCATTGTGCCAGAAAAAAAAGGTGCAGGCACTTGGTAAGATTTAATCATTCCAATGTATTTATTTTAATTTATTTTAAATCTTATGATAATAATAATTTCACATTTTTACTAACATGTTAATCTCATTTAAAATGTAAAAGAATCTTATATTTTAAAGTTGTAATTTTATTTTTATTTTTATTTTTTTTTGTTTGTTTCTTTGTTTAAAAAAAAAAAAAAACAACCCTCACGATATAAATGGATCCACTCAATTGTTTTCGAAAACATATTATGTTACATATAGCATGTTCACGGAGCTTAACTTTTCGTTAAAGATTTGTTGTCGAAGAAATTTAGAACCATGTAATTTTCTGTAATCTTGGGAACGATCTAGAATTTGCTACAACTCCTAAACCTTGATGGTTTAGAATTCAGAGGAACCTAATCATTAGTCACCAGAGCCTCCGTAATTCCTTTGCTAGATTTGGTGGTGATGCAAATATCTAGATATTGTAGAGATATGAAGGTGAAAGGTTATAGAGCTTCATCTCCATCCCATAATTATTACATCTTCACTATTGAGGAGATGGATCAATTAACCGTAGAGAAGTTTCGGAAGCACCTCTTACATCTGTCACAATTTTATAAGAGCGAAAATGGCACCCACTGATCCAAAATTCGGACACTAATTCATCAAATCGATGCATCAGCCCAACAACTAATTCTTAACTAAAACTTCTACCACCATTTAATTTTACGTTTAAATTAACTCGTTCATTACAACGACGCTAAGATTGCATGCAATTAAAATTACATTTGAGTTGTATTTTCCTTTTTTTTTTTACTAAGTTATAGTTATTCGTTTTACTCATAACATGACATGTGTAACAATTTTATGTAAAATACACACATCGTGTTATAAGCGCTGAGACCACATGATCTAGGTTATCCAAAAATTTGTGTGTTCTATATATATAAAAAATAATCCTTTTGGTTGGAATATCACTACCATTTTCCTCCAAGGTTAAATTGAATCCAACCCTTTTTAACAGAAAAGAGACACATATGTGGTTGTAATTTGACTTTGATTTGGTTAAAACATGTTTGATGGTTAATCCTGAATTAATTAATGTGGACACAAATCACCTTATTGAATATTTTAGAAACGTACAAAAGTATCATATACATTGTTACCCGCTAAAACATTTTAATTTTAGTGCAATTAAGCATGGTGAGTGAAGTTTTCAATTAAAATTAAATTACCCATCGCAACAGATCTTTCCGAATTTATGAGAATTCAATTCTGTGTTAAAACTAACGCAAAAGTCATCAGTTTACATCTACTAGATTATAAGCACACATGAAAGTAACTCTTGAGTACTTTCACTAACTCAAACTTCCAAGTTTCCCTTAACCACAAGCAAAGAATCCACTCTCATTCTCATTCATGGAAACCTGGCTCATTATCACTATTCTATTCCTTTGTCTTTCAATAATTCTCAAAACCATTCGTAACATTTTCTTCCCCCGTTGTCCCCTCCCTCCGGGGCCTCCAAAAGTGCACATCACAAGCAACTTTAAATTGCTAAGACAATACACCGCAGATACCAAAACCCTTCTTCAAAATCTACATGCCAAATATGGTCCAATATTCACTCTTCACATTGGTTCTCACACAGACATTTTCATTGCCAATAGGTTCCTTGCTCATAAAGCCTTGATCCAACATGGCACCATCTTCGCTGATCGACCCAAGGGCCTTCCCACACAAAAGATCATTAGTAGTAACCAACACGACATTCTTTTCAACTTCTATGGTCCCAAATGGCGCATCCTTAGGCGTAACCTCACTTCAAGAATCCTTCACCCCTCACAGGTTAAGTCCTATGCACATGCACGCACGTGGGTGTTAAACATTCTTCTACAATGCCTTAAATCTGATTCAGATGCAAGCAACCCCACAAGGGTCATCGACCATTTTCGATATGGCATGTTCTACATGCTGGTTCTCATGTGCTTAGGTGACAAACTCGATGAGAAGCAAATAAGGGAAATTGAGGAGAGTCAACGTGGCATGCTTTTGAGCTTTTCCAGATACAGTGTCTTGAACTTTTGGCCACCAATCACTAAGATTTTGTTCTGGAAGAGGTGGAAGGAGTTCTTGAAGCTAAGAAGAGAACTAGAAGCTGTGTTGATTCCTTATATAAACGCTAGAAGGAAGATTAAGGAAGAGAGACCAAGCAATGGTTCAGATTATGAGTTTGTTGTGTCGTATGTGGATACTTTGTTGGATTTGCAAATGTTGGAGGAAGATGAGGGGAGCAAGCTTGATGATGGTAAAATTTGCACCTTATGTTCGGAGTTTCTGAATGCTGGATCAGATACAACTTCAACAGCATTGGAATGGATCATGGCAAATTTGGTGAAGTACCCTTATATTCAAGAAAGGGTTGTGGAGGAGATAAGAGGGGTCATGATTGGTAGAGAGGATAAGGAAATCAAGGTGGAGGATTTACATAAATTGGGTTATCTAAAAGCTGTGATTTTAGAGGGGTTGAGGCGTCACCCACCACTACACTATGTGGCTCCTCATAGAGTGACAAAGGATGTGATTTTGAATGGTTATTTGGTGCCTACTTATGCCACTGTAAATTTCTTGGTGGCAGAGATTGGGAGGGACCCAACAGCATGGGATGACCCTATGGCCTTTAAGCCAGAGAGGTTCATGAACAATGGAAGCACAACGTTTGATATAATGGGGAGTAAAGAGATAAAGATGATGCCATTTGGAGCAGGAAGGAGAATGTGTCCTGGCTATAGCTTGGCAATGCTGCATTTGGAGTACTTTGTGGCCAATTTTGTTTGGAATTTTGAGTGGAAGGCCGTGGATGGAGATGAAGTTGATCTGACAGAGAAGCTGCAATTCACAATGGTGATGAAGAATCCTTTAAAGGTTAATATATTACCCAGGAAATAGTTACTATCAATTATTGGTGTTTTTCTCAAGACAGAAATATTAGAGCACAACGGTGGTCATTGGAAATAGTTCTTAAACTCAAAATTAGTTCCACAATAATTACTAGAAATTATCTACAAGAGTGCTCTACGCTAGAGGGACAGTATTTGACTAGGAATCAAGAACAACAACACTATTTTCCAAAAAAATATTTTTTTTAAGTATTCTTTCTCAACTGAAAATAATATAATAATTTTAATGAGACTCACAAAAAATAATTTAAAAATTCAAGTTTTAGTTCTACTACTAAAATTAAAAAATAAAAAAAATTTCAAATACATATAACACATCACTATAAAACTCACATGAAATAAATTTAAGAACTTATTTGTATTCCACCACACAAAGATGCTCTTACCCATCTTTGACTTGACTTATCGTGTTTTTATATTTTTCAATATAATGCTGACTGAGTTTTTTTAAAAGTAACGATGAGTGCTGCATGAATCTTACAAACGACTTATAATAATAACAAATGATTCTCCTTGGGAAATGTTAGTTGTACAGACTGTATAACATTTTACACAAGAGAAAAAATAATAAAATTAGAATTACGTGATAAAATGAATAATGTAGTTGAAACTTGAAAGAGAAGTGAAAATAATACTTTAACAAAATTATTATATGAATAATATATCTCTTACACGTTTTTCTTGTTAAATGACCGTTTGATGTTTTTTGCCTTTATATTATCATCGTCCTTAAAATATCTCCTTTCTTTCTTGTTATACTAAATAAACTGAAGTAACCGTTTGCTAAGTGATGCCGTAAAATGATATTACTATTTCCAGTTTCAGATTGTAGGATGACTGAAAACCGATTTACTATAAAAGAAAATGGAAAAAAAGAAAGAAAGAAAGAAAGTGTTTTAGAAGCGTGGAAAATAAAGTTAAATTCAATAACAATAAATGAATGCTAAGACAATTACAGTACTTATCCAATTTTACAGTAATTATTTCTACTTACTCTCTAAAAAGGAATAAATTGATTGGTATGTAAATCATAAAATTGAACAAGAGCGTATGGTTCCTTCCACACAAGACAGCATTCCCGAGAACTAAGAATGGGCTAAAGAAGATTCCATGATGTATCCTTTATTGGTGAGACTGGAGGATGTGTTTGATTTGATGTATGAAGAGTGACAAAATGAAATATTTACCAGAGTGCCACAATACACTACACTACACTTGGAGCAGGGCATCTTTATGTCCAGGATTTTTACAAGCTTGGGGGTCTTTAACTGCATCATTCTCTAGATATTGAATAAAATCCATTACCAATGGATCAGTCCAAGGGGCCCCAAATGGAGCATTATCCCCTGCAACCCACCCCAGATGGCCACCTTTGGATGTCACTATTAACAAGCAGTTTGGATTTTCCTGGCATGATAAACAGTATTAATAAGGAGTCAAAATAAAACGAATGAACATGCAAATAAAGACTGACCCTACTTAAATAATAGATACACAGAAACATGATGAAATAGAATCAGAGGGGGAAATTTTTGGTACAAGAGAAAACAGAGAATTTATAATAACTATCTTCAAAACAGATAATTTAATATGCAAATAAATTTTTTAACTGTGATGCTCTTCCTAGTATGTAAGCACAATGCCCAACAATGTGATGGTTAAATAAGTATCATAACATACTAGAAAATATAATAGAGGATTTAGTTTAAAAATAGTGAAAGGGAATGCCATGAGAAGTGTTATTAGCATTTGCATTCCATATTTTGAATTTTTGTTATATTCCAATTCCATAGACGGATAAATATGGTACACAAATACATAAAACTGTTTTTTTAAGTCATGCCATTCATCATCTTCTCTTATATCTACCATGTATTAATAAATGAAATAGAAAATTCAAAATATTTCTATCTTTATCCGTTCTCCCCTTCCTATTTTCCATCTTCCTTAAACCATTATCAAACACATTTCGGTCCAGAATGGAACAGTTAGAATAAATGTCATTATCCCAAGTCAAAATTCCATACCTTGATATCTTCACGAGGAATTCCCCTATAAGGAGCAATCGGATCATTGGCTGCCTGAAAAAAGCAAGAGATTCTTTCTAGTTAAATAATTTAGTTATTCTTTCACAAGAGATGCAAGACCCTAAGCAATCCCAGTTTAGAGATTAAGGCCAGTGCCAGTTGGGTTACAAGCTCAATGGCTTGATTTACAATATACTTTCTTCTTCCTTTAGCCCGTTTAGATTCTGTGCTTTTGCAATATAGTAAAGCAATTTTTCTATAAAGAAGAAAAAAAAACCTTTATTACATAAAAACCACAAACTATTTAATGCCTTTTTATCAAGTAATTGAAAGCATGTGTGATAGTGTATTTAATGTCCCTTAACCTATGCACCTAGCACATAGGTGGCATTTCCTTACTATCGCTTTTGTTCTCAGAAAAAAAAAAGGAAAAAGAAAAATATTTGGAATATTCGTGGTACACTGCGTCATATTAACTTAAGAGAAAAACTATAACAAGATCAATAAAGGGAGTTGACATAAATATTAATCATGATAACAATGCAGAAAGTAGTATTTTCATTTCAATTTTATGCAACCACATATCAAAAGAAACATAGATAAAATTATTTTTTGATTAAAAATTTTTTACCTGGATGCAAAGCAATGGGGTTTTAACATGTTTTATGGAATCTGAACTGCTTGAATTAGAGTAATATTCATCCACCGACTTGAATCCGAAAGAAACTGTAAAGCTTCATAGATGAGTATCTGAACAGATATAATTCACAATTGTGATCTATCTATCAAGCTTCCACTAACAAGGGCCACGTACCGCGGGTCAATCCATCATCAAACTCCCTAACAGACTTGGCATTGGCTGCCAGTGGAATGTTATATTCACCACCAATATCTTCAAAAAGTAAAGCATGCCTGTACTAAAAAATAAAAGTAGAAGCCGTTTGTGATACATGTCCAGCAAATTGAACCACATTAATAAGTAGCTAGAATAATGGCAACAGGAAAAAAATAGTATCACTTCTTGAAAATCTTGCAAAGAGCCTTTGAAAGAGCCTTGTCATAGACAATGTTAAAGCCCTTTCGAAAGTCCTCATCTGCCACAACCAAATTGAAAGGATTACACAATGATACAGCACCAGAAAGAGGACAATTGTGTGATTCCTGAAAGAAACAAACGGAAGTAATAAATACATGGCAAAAGCTGTATTCAATGGACAAAGACAAAAATGTTCCACCTAAAACTAGCTCATTGCACCTCTTAGTAGTTTAAAACAACCAAAGGAATATAGTGAAACCACTGATTAGTAGCCAAAGTAGAACAGGTAAATTTTAATACAAGATTTTTTAGCCCATTTAGGCTATGCTTGTTTGAGCAGCTGTAAAATGGGAGTGAAAACTAAGATGGATAGAACATTGAAGTGTTTTTCACTGAACGTAGATTGAAGGGGAGGAAAATCACTTCTACCTGCCAAAGTTTTGTGGAAGTGAAGTGGAATTTCAATGTCCATCCTTTTACTATCTTCATTTCAAACCGTTGATCCCTAGTTCTATTTATTAATCTCATCCTAAGACTAAAACTGAGTTAAACATCTAAAACTAACAAGTTTTTATTGAGAACGAGCCATTCATTGCATTAAAGTTACATAAGTACAATAAATATCTTTTTAATAAAATCTTACAATTATTAGTTACTTAAACTCAGCCCTTAACTTTTCTTTTAATTATTTACCTTGAAGTTGGTAAACACATTAATGGAGGAATGATGTTACCTGACCCAAGTAACGAACAAGAATGTTTGCTCCAAGTGACCAACCAACTGCATATACATTAGCACTGGGGTATCTAGTGGTGACATGGGAAACAACCTCGTGCATATCTCCCAAAAACGAAGCAGAATAGAACTGAACATCAACACTGTCAGTGTCACAAATACATCTACTTATCATCATATCATATTCAAATGTCAAATCAAACAACTATTCAAATAATCACAGCAATATTCACCTGAGGAGTAGTAACAGGGCTATCTCCACAACCGCGACTATTGAACACCACAACACGCCATCCATTACTTCGAGCTCTAACTAACATATGTCTCACGTAAGCATCCTCACTGCCTCCGGTTAAGCCTGGCTGCACAATTCAGATACCCCATTTCAAATTTCACTTTTTAAGATACCCATTTCCTTCAAATTAACAAATTTAAAAAATAAAATTTAACGGACCAGCAAGATGAGGAGTGGAGAATCGGGTGGCAAACGGCGGTCGTCGCCGGAGACCCAGTCGAGAGCGACGGCTCCGCCGTCTTGGGTTCTGAGGCAGTGGCGGCGGAGTCTAACGTCGGGAACGGAGCGCAAGAATGCGGCGAAGATGGTTTCGATGTGGCGGTTGGAAGCGAGGAGAGGAAAGGGGCGATAGGGACGAGTCAAGTGGGTGAGCACTGGGAGGAAACGGTCACGTGCTCCTCCAAGGATTTCGAAGGAGGGGTGAGGGTGGGGGAGGGTGGCCATTGCTGTTGGTTACGGCGGAGGAGCTGACGTGGATGGCGGAGAAGGAAAGTGGTGTGAAATGATTAGTGTATTGTATTGTTTGGGCGAGAAGAGAAGGGTGGGGTGTGGACACCCACCAATGAGTCAATGACAATTTGCTCTCTGTGCTGTTCCTAAACCTTAACCTCATTGGACTTTTTATTTTCTATTTTTTTAAATCAATTTTTGGGGGCTTCTAGGCTTGTCTGTGTTCATACATGTAGCTGCTTGGGATTAATTTTTTATAAATAATTTTTATAAATTATAAATATAAGAATATAGTATTTATTTTTAAAAAAAATTATGAAAATATGAAATCTAAAAATTACTAATAACGATTTTTAGTGTAAATACAAAAATTAAGAAATAAAAAATGATAAAGTATAAAAATTATTAATAAGAATTTTTTTAAAAATATTTAAAAATTTAAAATAATAATTAAATATTTAAAAATATCACAAAAGTAATTAAAAAGCATTTTTTTTGTCAAATTTCATCAAATGGCAATTATTGAAAAAAAATATTTTTGTAATTTTGTTAAAAATCTTTATTTTTAAAATTTTAGAAGAAAAAAATAATACATAAAAAAAACTTAACTGAGATCTCTTCAGTTATGATAGAAATTAAATATTCAATTTTATTTTTATTTAAAAAAATTGACAAAACTACAATATTTTTTTATACAAAAGTAGTTTAAACAATTTTTTTTTATTTAGACGAATTTTACATGTTCTTTTCCAATCTTTGCCTCTCCTTCTCTCTCTCCCTACTACCTAACACTCTCTCAACCTTCATATTTAATTATTTTTCTCTTGTTTTATCTCCACTTCATACACAACTTTACTCTTCCTTTCACTTCATATCTAACTTTTTTTTTTTCTTTTCTCACCTTCACCTCGCCTCAACCCCATGCTCACTTCTATGCCTAATCCCTTCACTCTCCTCTCCTTTTGTCACCACCCCTATATCACCCTTCTCCCTATCTCCACCTATCTTCAATCCTCTCTTCCCTCACACACAATCCTCCTTTTCTTAAGTTCCCAAAAATTTGCCTAAACAAATATACAAAATAAGCTTAAGATAAAAAAAATTTGTTTAAGCTAATTTACATTAAAGAAAATTATCATTTTCTTCATTTTAACTTAAATAAGTTTATTTTTGCTTAAATAAAAATAGAATTATACATTTAAGTTTCTGCCACAACAGCATAGGATCCAAATCTTAGCTGAAATGATGGCAAAGCTCAAATCTTAATTCCAAAAAGTTTAGAACACTGGAGTAGTAGTCCACTCATAAAATTTCCCAGGAAGCTTTAGTTACAATTTTAATTAATCCATTTAATTAAAAATCATCTTTTACTTTAATATTTTAAATTGAGTTTACATATTTTAAAATATAAAAAATTTATTAAAATATTTTCATTATTAAAGTTATAAAAGGATAATAAATATATTTTAAATAAATTTTGATTATTATTAATTATTTAAATTTGACTCTAAAAATTAAGATTAATATTTTTTAATAATTTAAAGTATTAAAATAAAAAAAAATTCATCAATTTAGTTAAATAAGAAAATTCAAAAACTAACCAATGTTGTTTCAATTTAAAGTAAACTAAAATATTTAACCAGTTGAATTGATTTACTTGAAATTAAAGGTGCAAATGAGCGGAAGTATTCATGAATTATTTAAACTTAACTCATTAAATATTTAACTAAAATTATTTATTTAATTAAAAAAAGTATTAATTACACATTCTTAATTATTAACTAAATTTTATTAAAAATTGTAAAAATTATATGAGTCTAGTATTTTTCTTTAATTAAATAATAAAATTACACTGAATTATTTAAATGAATCAAGTTGCAAGCTTAACATTATTAGCTACACATACCTTTGTGGATCAAATTGTACTAGTATAAATTTTATTCACTCGTATACTATTTAATAAGTTAATATAAAAAATAATTTTCACTAATTCAATCGTTGAATTAAAGTATATATTACCTAAATTATTTATTTCAAATTTTGTTAAAATTAAAAATTGTATATCATAAATTTCAAAAGCATATATTACATTAGTTTTAATATATCCACTATATAAATAAGATATTAAATAGTTTTGAACCAATATCAAATTTACTCACTCGTACACTATTTAACAACTTAATATAAAAAATAGTTTTTTACTTATTTAATTGTTAAATTAAATTATATATTACTTAAATTATTTATGTTAATTTTTTTTTTCAAAATTAAACATTTTATAAAATCATTATCAAAAAGACTTTATTTTCATAAATTTGAAAAACATATAGTCTATTAATTTTAATGTATATGAATAAGGTATTAAATAGTTTTGAACTAATATAAAATGTAGTCATTCATATACTATTTAATAACTTAATATAAAAAATATTTTTTACTGATTTAATCGTCAATTTAAATTATATATAACTTATATTATTTATGTTAAATTTTATCAAAATTAAATATTTTATAAGGTTGTTATTAAAAAGATTTTATTTTTATAAATTTCAAAAACATATATTACCTTAATTTTAATATATATAAATAAGATATTAAATAATTTTGAATCAATACTAATTTTTTTATATATGATTTATGTTATCAAAATTTTTAATCTACTAATTATTTTTAAAATTAAGTTATTTAATAAAAATTATTAAATAATATAAAGTGAATAAAATTTACATCCGTATAACTTAATTTATTTAAATAAAAAAATTAAAATACACTCATTGATACATTGTTTAACTATTTAATATATAAAACAATATTCATCAATTCAACAGTTGGATTATAATTATATATTATTTATATTATTTGTATTAAATTTTATCAAAATTAAATATTTATAAGATTGTTATTACTTTATTTTCATACATTTTAAAAGTATATAATGCAGTAATTTTGATATATATAAATAAAATATTAAATAAATTTAAATTAAGCTTAAAATTAATATTTAATTTAAAAATTAATTTTATGGTTAAATTATATAAAAAAGTTATTAAATAATAAAATATAATTTTAATTATTATTATTGTGTTGTGTATTATTTACTTAATTTGAATTTTTAAAAATTCTATTTTAAACAAGTAACTATATTTTTGTAAAGAAATATGTTATTTTTATTATTTTTATATTTTTAGCTTAAAATTATCTTCACATATATAAAATTAGATTTTATTATATTTTTACTTTACTTTTTAGGATGAAAATATTCAGTAACTATAAAATTAATATTTTTAAAAATTTATAAAAAAATAAAAAAGCTAATAAGACAAATTCAAAATTCAAAATTTTGTATCAAGTTAAATTCAGTTTTTAAATCTAACTCATTTAAATAAACAAAATAATTTTTTTAACAAGTCAAATTTAAATTTTAAATTTTCAGTTCAACTCAACTTATTTATCCTTCTACTTAAAAATTATAAAGACTTGATAAAATTAATCTCATCTAATGAATAGTCTTAAATTTAACACAATAAGTCTCGTTACACTGTGAATGAAACTTTCGAAAATTATTTTACGTAACAAATATAATTATAATAAATCTTAGCGTTGCAAATAATTATGCCCTTTCTTTCCCTATTTCTACCTGCGTGGTAAATAAATAAAAAAGGTATCATTTTTAATTTGTTTATTTTTATCTTATTCTTAAAATATATTAAATATAAAACAAATATTAATTAGGTACTCGGGAATGAATCTCTTCTATGCGTGGCATATTACATATTTACATTTAAAATTACGTCTTTTCCCTCTCGTTGACATTAAATAATCTGACGTAAAACAAATACTAAATAATGTTCACATAATTAATATCAAGAGGAAAAAGACGTTTAATGTGTGTTTTCTTTCTTTTGTATTATAAGGATGGAAAATAAGAAAGTCACATCTTAACCATTTCAAATAAATTAATGAATGTAAACCTATGCTGGAATTTCAACAAATTTAGTAAGTATTTTATATCATATACGAACATCTCAAACTTGTTAATATATAAATACATATCATAAAAATGATAATTTAAAGTATGACATTCTTAAATTATAAATAGAATTCACATAATTTTTTTGAAAAAAAATGAATTCAAGATTAAGAAATTAAATTAATAAATAAGTAAATCATTTTTAGGTTTGAAAAGGAATAACATGATACTAAATGAATGATATTTTTTTTTATTCTTTTATTTTACATATTCTTTTATTTTAAAAGAGTAAAATCTAAAAATATATAGTCAGAATTTAAAGATAAAAATTGAACGAATATGAAAAATCTAAAATGATTAGTAAATTAAAATATCTATAACTCGCCGTGTGTGATAAAATTTGGAGTTTAAAAAAATGCATAATAAAAAATTAGTTCTATTTAATTGCATTAAGGTATTTAATATAGCATTATTATACTTTTGATATTTTATTTTCAATAATAACGTGAGATTAATATATTTTAAAGAACTGATAAAACAGATTAGACAGAATAATTAACTGAAGGTCAACCGATAATTTGGATATTATTATTATTATTATTTGGGTCGAAGATAAAAAACCGGTTTTGTTGATTTGACGAGTCCGACCCGAGTGGTTCATCGTGAAAAAATAAAAAAAGAAAGAGAAAAACCATAGACATCTGGGGTCATTGCATTGCATTCCGCGCAGGGAGAGTGTTGACATAACGGGAATTGGATTGTGTCCGTGTAAGAAACAAAAACACCATTTCAGATTATGAAACGAGGAATTTAGGTAGATTTTCCACAACAGAGAGACACTCTCTTCTCTCTCTACCCTCAAATTTCAAAGACAGAGAAAAAGCGTATTCGCATATCAGAGATCACAATTTTATTTAATTTTTTATAAATTTTGGGAGAATGGAGGAGGCAAAGGCATTGCACCAGCAACAGCAACAGCAGCAGCAGCAGCAGCAACAGCAACAACAGCAACTTCTGTTACAGCAACGGCAACAACAACATTTTCTGCTCTTACAGCAGTTGCAGAAGCAGCAACATCAACAACAGCAAGCTGCTGCCATTTCTCGTTTCCCTTCCAACATTGATGCTCACTTGCGTCCTATCAGACCCCTCAATCTCCAACAAAACCCTAACCCTAACCCTAGCTCTGCCTCCAACACTAACCCTAATCCCCTCCTCAATTTGCATCAGAACCCTAATTCCAACCATCTACCGCAGCAGCAGCAGCAGCAGCAGCCCCAACAAACGCAGCAGCAACCGCAGCAGCAGCAGCAGCAGCAGAAGATTATTCGACCCGGGAACCAGATGGAGCTCCAAATGGCATACCAAGATGCATGGCGGGTCTGTCATCCGGATTTCAAGCGTCCTTTCTCTTCTCTTGAGGATGCTTGCGAGAGGTTCATTCTTTTACTCCCCACTTGTTCAACTTGATGCTTTTCCGTGTTTTGGTCACTGTTGAAATAATGATGGTGTTTTTTTTTTTTTTTTTTTTCTTTTTTACTTGAATTTCAGTTTTATGTTCTTTTTTTTTTTAATAATTTGTGTTACTTTTAACCTTAACTGTGATTTGCCTGCAATATTTCTGAATACCTTGAGATCAGTTGCGCTAAGTCTTTAGTACAGACAGAAATAAGATTCTCTCTCTTCTTTTCCCCGAATGCAGATACTTTCCATGTTTTACATGTGCTTTCAGAGTCAATAATATTAATTACATTAGGATGGGAGAAGAAGCATTATCTTGTGACATATGGCCACTTCCAGCATAATTGTAGGAGTGGCAAGTGGTTGTTGAAGATGCTTGTTTAATTAATTAATGTCTTTTCCTGAAAATAGGAAAGATCACACACATGCCACTGACAAATGACTAGTATTTATCTGACATATCATGAAACCTTTTCCAAGTGAAAATTTACGTGATTGGGGTTGTCATTGAAGCTTTAGCGCATAATTTTCTGGGGTGCCAGTGCTGTGTAGGATTTGCTTGTTGATAGCTGAAAATATTTTACAAAGACTTAAGAAGATGAGCAGTCCATGCCCCATGTAAACAATAAATACAGAGGTTCACTGTGTTTTGTACAAGACATTAAAAAACGGGAGATAATAGCCTTAGGCTATTATATGGATGTATAGTTTATGTTTTGCAAACATGCCATTTTCAATGATGGGACCTTTTGTGTGATTTACCTCAGGAAATATGTTGATGGCCTTGCAATCACTTGTTTATTGCGGCTGTCTTATTCTGAAGTTCTGTCTGAAACTTAATTCATAGTCTTATATCTGTCAAGCCTTCCTGCTTTTGATTTGTTTTTACTTTTACATTAAGTCAGAGAAAATGCTCTTGCTGTCAAAAGAAGCTGTTAGTCATATCTCATATGATGTTGGGATTGTTTAGAGTTGACTATGTTAGGGAAACTTCTCAAGTAAGTAATATTCAAAATGAGCTATGCTCTTTCATTCACACAGAGATAAACATGTGGAGCTTTGCTTGCTGCAACACCTACAAAAGTTCTTGTCTGTCCTCCTAAAGCCAGGAGATCAGATATGTTTATGAAACAATATAATTTCAATTCAATATGAGAAGTATATTACTAGTGATGTATATTCTTGTCCTGTCATAGATAGACTAAAACTAGTGATGTGTCTGTTTTGTTGTGTGAAACTAGAGAAGGGGTTGTAAATGGTGATTGTGTTGTCCTCTCGAATAAAGATTAAGTGCATGTTTGGAATTGCTTATTTTTAGAGAAACAATTGCTTATTTTAAAAGCTCTCTCACAGGTAGGTGGCAAAAACAAACAATTATTTTATTTCAAAATAAGTTGAACCAAACACATTCTAACTTGTAGAATTTTGGAGTTACCTCAAGAATCAGATGGAATATGCTTGTTAAAAGGAGAAGTATTAAATTTCATTACCCTGCCTTTATTTGGTGTCATTGAACCACTGGAGAGGTTCATGTTACTGCACATTTTAGAAGTGAACCTCAGTTGTTTCATTATAACAAACTTTTCAAATTTCAACTATATTTTATACCCTATTTTTCCTTCCTTTTTTCTTTGAGTTTTACAATGTTCAGTATGTAATGGCCTCATTTCATGAAGTTAAAGGGCAGAACAAACCAGTTGTATTTAATTAGTGTTTGGACCATCTCTAGCTGTCAGTAGCCATCTGCTGGTGGCTAGGTGTTTCACACTGATCACAGGGTGGCTTCAGTTTGCTTGCAATCATCTTTTGTGTGTCAAATGCGTGTTTCTGAATAAGATTTCACCATGACACTACCCAAAATGTACAAAATTAATTGAGAGAACTGTTTATTTTCTATGAATTGGTTTCCAATTGGCTATCTTTTTCTTTGTGATGTTAATTTCTTGTAACAAAAGGAAAGTGTGAGATGTTATGGGTGGTGCGCCTTAATTTTAGCTGGGATTAAAAAGATACTGAATGTAATGTTGATCATGGTTGATGCAGCTTGGTTTTACTTTCCTTCTTTCATTTAAGCTGAAGCCAGCCAAAAATCTAATTAATGTTTTTGTTCTATGCGTATAGTGCCAATAGGTTATATATGTCTAAATATTAATTGGTAACAGTTTTTCTAGGTTGAATATGGATTCTATCTATTCACTTGCTATTTCTCTCTATACAACCTGCTTCTCATGTGGATTCACTATGCAAATGCAGAACACACTCATGTTGCTTTCTCCTTTTTATTTGACTTCCAGTTAAATTCTGATCTGTTCTTTTGGTCTTGTATATTTATTAATCTTTGTTCTTCTGATATTTGACAGTTATATTTTGTTGCTCTGCTTTTAGAATTGTTTAGCATGTTATATTGTTATCTACTATCCCAACTTCACTTTCCTTGTCATTGACTGTGTTTTGAATAACATATCAAACTTATCTATTTATATGTCTGGGACTATACTATTAAATTGTTATTCATAATTTGTAAATTTACTGTTTGCATATTTTATTTATTTAGATATAGTTCTGCAGAACCTATAACATTTAGATTCTATCAAATTTAATCCTTGCTCTATCATGTGGCAATTGATTTTGCTAAATTACTTCAATCAACAGAAGCCAGACGGACAGTTGATTTGTGCAATGTAGAAATCAACCTGGAACTCAGCTAGTTTATTAGTATATTGCAAATGTGTGCTGTTTTACCTTTTAGTAAATCTGACCAAATGTTTTCAGTGGGGGCCTTGAAGTGCTTGATATGACATTCAGGATAACGTTACCAAAATGAAAATAAAAATACATGTTAATGATTTCATTTGTTGATGTTCACAATTTAGTTTTTTTATGGTTTGATATGTTAAAACAACAATCAGTGCTGTACAACTTCCTATTACTTGCTATATATATATGTGTGTGTGTGTGTGTGTGTATTGTATCATAGCTTTGAATGCTTTTTGGTCATGATTGTATGTTATTGAAATATGCTAATACTAATCTAAACATTATATTTCTTATTTGAAAGCTTTTTCAGCCTGTAAGTAGTATTTTCACTGTCATTGAAAAACAAGAACAATTCTGGTGCCCCCATCCTAAAAAAAAGTTCCAAATAAACCTCCTGATTTTTAAGTCAAATGAAATTTGCTTGATCATGGATTTCTTATGTTTCAAAATTCCCTAAAATTTTCTTCTGCAGATTATTGCCATATCATGTTGTGGCAGACTATGAAGAAGAAGAGGATGATAGGATACTTGATTCGGACACCACTGGCCAGATGCTTTCACGGTCTCAGCAGTGGGATAATAATATTGCTGCAAAAATTGCTGAGTTCACTGCAACTTTTGAGAAACAAGCACTTGCCTTCAACATAATAACCCAAAAGAGAGGTTTGGGGGAATTCCGGTCAGAGGAGAGATTGATGATTGAGCAGGCACTTCTCCAAGAGGAAAAACGAGCTATGTTGGAATTAAGAGCAGAATTAGAGTCCAGGGAGAAGGCCGGTCGTGAAGCCCATGAGGCTAAACTACGGATGGCAGCAATGCTTCATGCTGAGCAGGCTCGGGCTGATTCACAGTCTCATGCTGAAATGATGTCTAGAGCCCCTATAAGGGGTAGTGCACTGGGGCCCCAAGGCAATGACATTGTGATTGGCCATGACATGGGAGAGCAGGATCAGGGAGGTAACCCAGGTGAGATGATGAATGGATGGGGAAATAATACACAGAGAGATGAGAAGGAGCCATCTGATGATTTCTTGAATGATGAAGCCGAAAATGGAGACACTGGTACCCAGGATGGCTGGCGTGAAGTTGGGGAGTTCGATTTAAATGCTAGGTGATTCTCGACACTGATTAAATAAAACCTTTTGGGAGAGTTCAAATTATGTGTAAGGAATCAATATCCATTTTAAAAATCTTTATCCTGGGTAATTGGGTACCGTCGACCTCTTCAAGTTAGTATCTTAAGATTACTTTCTCGATCAAAATCTATTTCACATGGGCGGAAGGAAAAACTAATGTTATTTGATAAATATTTTATGCTCTTAGACTAGTGTAGTGCACATGGTTGGATCATTAGGTCCAAACAGTGTTATATAAGCATACAAATTCAGTCAAATGTATATCTTTAGTTGTCTGGGAGACTCTGGTTTCATCGATTTGGCATCTGATTTTTCAGGTCCCCGTCAAATTTTAACTGTCATTATAAAAAAATCAAACTGTATTTTTTATGTTGCCGATTTTCTTGTAGGATAGCAGGCGTAAAATCGCTAGCTTAGCTCCTATTGTCAAAGCTTGTTTTCATGGTACTCATCTCTCTTATTCAGGCGTATTTTTATTTGTATTTTGTTTAAAGAGATTATATAAATTAAGAAATTTAATCATTTTATGGAATTTTTAAAAAAAATTAATTGTTAATTTTTTGTTTAAATAGTATAATGATTTTATACAGATAAGAAGATATTAGTGGAAAAATAATATTATTTTTTTGAATTTTTATATAAATAAATGAGTGAGAAATGCTTTTATTGCTTTTAAACAGATATATAAAAGTAGAGGAAGTATATTATTACAAATTGGTCGTGTGGGGCAGAATTCGAGATTTGATTACTGATAACTTGCTTTTTCTTAATAAAATAGGATGTAACAGCCTCGTGTACAGGTTGATAGGAATCTTAGTAGTTTGTGTAATGCTGTTCATAGGAATCTTAGTAGTTTGTGTAATGCTCTTGTCCTGATTTTCAAGCAGGAAAGATGGAAATTTAGATAGCTGAATGTTGTGTTACACGTTACAATAGTTACAATAATTCTTAAATGCGATGTAATATGAAATCCTCGTTAAGTTCTGATATTGCTGCAATTTAGGATTGGTTGGTCCAGATTACCTGAAAACAGTAGGATAAAAGAAAAAAGTTTCACCCCATCAGCTATTAACTGATCTATGCTACAGGATTTTAACATTATCTTAATTTTTTTATTACTATATACAAGTAATGCAAAAATAAACACAAGTTATTTTATTTTATTTACTATTTTAATTTGTACAATACTACACAATGATAAAAATTTATATATAGTAAATTTTTATTATAAAGTTAATATAATTTAATGCATTAATATTATTAAAATTTATAATTTTCAATAAAAAATATTATATATAACTTCTTATTAGGTGAAATATTACATACATTAGAAAAACTGTTACTATTTATATTATAATTTATTTGTTAATATAACATTTTAGATATAACATGATAAATGTCACATTTTTTAACTTACATGTTTGATTTAAGAAAAAATATATTTTTATCAGTCCTTTATTTTTTAAGATTTTTAAAGATATGCTAAAAGCAAAGATTTGTAGGGAGAATAAAAAAGGTAAATTTTATGGTTATTTATAAAAATAAGACATAATTCAAAATTATTTTCTTAAACTAAATGCTTTATATTTTTATTTTATATTCTTATTCCAATAGTCGTACTTCCCCATCCTTTACGCTCCACGCCCAATTGGAACGTAACTAATTTCTAACAATTCTGAGCAATTCGTGTAGAAAAAAGGGAAATGGTCCTTAACCTCAGCAGAATTCATTTTGTAGAATTAAAAATTTTGAAGAACGATAAATAAATAAAACAATTAATAAATCAATGCCAACAATGTTGACCAAATTTTTCTTAGTGATCAATGCATTGAGTCTGAATTTAATAATTCTTTGTTAACAGACAATTTGTGCTTTGGCTAGCAGTGTTCTTCCCCACAAGAAAATTATACCTAACACGGCCCCTCTCGGGAAAGGAGTGTGTCTCGCATTTCACGGGTTAACTTGAATGTATAAACTTTAAACTAATCCACAATATTAACATATCAAAACAAAAAAGTATGTATGACTTGGTTTCAACAAAGGATAAAGTGTCTATTTCTTTCTAAACACTCATTCTATTTTGGTTGTTAGGCTAACTTCTGCGTCACAATTATTGTGTAGGCACCACCACCATATGTCCAACCGATGGACTGTCAATGCCAACCAACTCAAAGCTTACCCCAACATGATCAAGTCGGCAAGAAACTACCCATTGATAGGAAAAATGTCATTTTGACATATATAATGGCAAGTCCATACTTGAGATAATAATCAAGAAAAAAGAAGAGTAATATTTTCTAAGACCGAATGCATTCATCTTGTCATTTTGATTGAATACCCAGTCCTCTCGTTCATTCCTCCGCAGCACACATTGCACAAACTAGAAATATATTTGGGTAATTACAGAGAAAATAAAGAATGAGGAAGACAGTGAAGATTTGTCAAATGTAAACCAAAGTATTCACAAACTTGACACCTACAAAATATTAGGCAGCTGAGAATCCAATCTCTGCTGCAATTCCCTGATCTTCACAGACAGTTCTGCCTTTTGCTCTTTATAGCTCTGGAGTAAGTATTCTTTTCCTTCAATTACCTCTTTTAACTCTCCTACTTGCCTTTTCAGTAACTCAATTCTCTCCTCATCATCCTTTACTTTTTCAGGGGTATCAGAATAATTCTCCACATCAAGATGCCCATTTGAATGGCCATTTCTACTTTCAGCGGACCAAGCTGTGACTGTGGATAATTTGTCACGGGGAACATGTCCAACACAGTGATCTGCAATTGCTTTCCTTAGCCTTTGGATCTCTCTTTCAGAGTCAAATAAGTCCCTGTTTGCAGCATCAAGCTGCAATTGCAAATGAGAAGAAAGCCCCATTTGGGCATTGAGTGAATTTTGCAATTCAGCCATTTGATCTTGCATCTCTAGTATCATATCATCTCTTCGCTTCAGTTGTTGCCGCAGTTTCTGTATGACTTCGCGCTTACTAAAAATATCAGAACCAGATTCTGATACACATGGTGAATCTGAGCAGTTAGAATGATGGAATGGCTTTGAAGGCAATTCAAGACGATCAGGAGAGCATGCCCAGACTACACCATTTTCCTTGCTAAATTCGGCAGCAGTAGGAACAGTCACCAAAGGGAGAGCCCTGTCAAATTCATTCAAAATCTGGCCATTTGGTGGGCATTTTAGGTCCATAGTACCTCCAGTTCCTGTCCAAAACATTGTGACATATTAAAAATCTAGGACATGTACAACATGAAACAGAACAAGAAGCTCAAATATTTGAGGCTACGCCATAAATGAAAGGAAATAGAGGAATAGTATCATAGAGGATGCAGAATCAGATTTGCAAACTACAATCACCAATTACTTGTGAATGACTCATGTACAAAGTTGACAGCGTTTCTCAGACAGCAGTCAACTTCAAAAGGAAGCCCATCAACAAGTTACAAATTAAGTAAATCCAGGTTTGCTTTAAATGTCTGAGCTATTTGTGAAGTTTGCATCTCCTTGCTGGAAAACAAAAGAATATCTGCCGATACCAAATAAAAAGTCTCTCTATCTCCAGATTCTCCACAACTGCAATTATTCTATGGCAACAAAGATCAAATATCAAGTGCCGCCTAGATTGCTGAGCTAACCTTTGATTCACGAAGTTTAGCTCATCTACTTAATTATATATTCCTGTTTCCATTCCAAACCTATCTTATGACTACAGATAAAAGGTTGCATCTACACACAATTTTGTACATCTCCAACTTTTTGTAGAAATTGTTTATGTTATTGGCACATCTAACAATGTCATTCAATAGGAGTGCTAATGATGTAGAATGGGCACTGGACACAGGTACTAAATATATAAGATGTGAATAGAACTAAAGGAAAGAGACAAGTAATATATTTGATGAACAATAAACATCATAACCCATCAAGGACGCAGATGAGTGGAAGAAGCTCCACAGACACTACAGATAGAAGAAATACACTAAGATAAGGAAATCAGTGAACAATCTTTGTAAATACTAAAAAAAAAACAGCATAACATCCTATAAGCGAACATTAAGACATATTCAACATAATTTGAAATTCAGAAACAAATTTTTCTTGACTGAAAAAGAAAATTTCTATAGAAGTACAAGAACACATACAAACAACAACCTATCATCAAAACTCAGCATACCAAAAACATCTTTGAAGCACAAATTAAACCTGAAATGCAATTGAAGCATCCAAGATTGTCTTGCGTTTGGGAATATCCATTAGACTGCATAAAGCAATCTGCAGAGTTCCTTGTGTTGGGTGCTTTTCCATTTCCTGAAGTAACAAAAAAAATATGAAAGTTAGAATCCACCATAGACCAAGGACACTTCTATGCCATTCAAATTACAGAACCTTATTCACTATTACATTTATTTTCCTTTTCAGTCAAGAAGAATTAATTAGAAGGGAGGGGAAATACGAATGGGAGGTTGTTGTCCCCCCAACAGTATATAAGGACCTTTTTGGATAGTTGTAGCACTCTGCTTCGGCTTTGAGTCAAGTGCCTGCTTCAACTTGTAACCAAGGCGAACTGATAATGTACTCAACAAAGCACCAGCGGCAATAAGAAGCCAGTTAGGGCCTTCAACTTGAGTATTGTTTGCTTTATGAGCTCTAGACACCCCATTGGTTTGTGGTTTCATTTTAAGAGCTAAAACAACTGAACCAAATGTTCTGGGATGTCCAGGAAGAACCTGCAGAAACAATTGTCAAAGTCTCATTACCACACATTGAAAGATCTATAGGCCCAACAATACACACACAACCACACACAATAGAAACTTTACAAATTTCATTTTTATATTACCTTTCAAAATTCAGCATAAAAAAAAACACAAACTTACCTTCGATATTTGTGATGTATATTTATTCTTCTTCCCCTATTTGAGGCTATATCCATCCCCACCGTTTTCTTCTCTGGTCAATCAATTAAACTCAGTACAACTGTTCAACTTAAACCAGATTTTAATTTTAGGCTAACATTAAAATCACAGACACATTGGTTGGAACTGTTATAAAAACACAAAAAGCACAACATGCACTTCCCCTCAAAGATCTCAACCATTTCCGACTCTTAACCCCTTCTCGTCCTTTTCTCCTATTTCATGCCTTAGATCAAACATTATCATCACCCATACTGAATCAATCTCGAAACTCTTCATCAGAAAGCAGCGCCGTTTCTAAAACCCAATATTTAAAGGAAAATAGATAACGGAGAAGAAAAACAAAAAAGACAAAGAGAAGGGAAGGTAGAAGAAAAAGGCAGAGAGAGAGAGAGAGAGAGAGAGAGAGAGAGAGTACCCGGGAGGTTTAAGAGCACATGGCAGTGAACGATGAAAACAGAGTGAGAGTGGAAGGAGCGAAAATGGAAGGGTTTTTGTGCATAGAGGAAGTGCGGCTAACGAACTGAGTCAAGAGACAGTGTGGGAGAGGGTGGGAGAGAGAGTGTGTGTGTTGGAAAAAGAAATATTTGACTGGTAAAAAAGAAAACAAAATATTGAGATAAATGAATACAAAGATGCGAAAAAAAAGAAGAATATTGTTATAGCTTCCAGGCTACAAACAACCTCAACAAAACATACTTTATTCGGTGTGCAACACACATACTTATACACCCTCTTTTCCCTTTTTCTTTTCTGTTAAAATCATTCTATGCACAAAATTTGGTCACTAATGTATCAAACAATAGTGTCAGTCTACCCCAATACATGTGCATGTTAATTTTTTCAAAACTTTTGCATTTTGACATTTAAAAGGTACTTAGTAAAATATTTTTTTAATCCAGTTATTAATAAATTATTATATCCCTTAAATATATTAATTAGAGTACAATTATTAATTTATTACTCATGTATATAGACAAAAAAATATTGACAGATATTTCCCCCAACTTATCCTTAAACTAACCAAAGGAAGGAGATAAACATGCATATATATAAAAAAAAGAGTCTTAGGCTATCAAGGATATTATGATTCCAGGACAAGACATTCGGATTTGTCCCAGAATCAAAACCATTCATTTTATTTTTTGTTAAGGCAGGAGACCCTGGATCTAGGTGGGAATTTGAGGAATGACGGGTCCAAGTCCAACCTCACTAGGCTATAATAAGACCACTGGCCCGAAACAATTTTTTAATAGTTTTTTCTTGACAAAAAAATTTGAAAATTGTTACATCAAACTTAATAAAGAATTAATGTACCATTAAATAAGAAACTTGTTAAATCCAAAGATGTGCAACCTTTCCTGGGAAGACATATACCACTCCCCTCTTTCTATTGTCCTATTTTAATATTAAAACATTTCCCCAAAAATTAATGTCTTATACATCTCAGCAGCACTTTGCATATGATTTAAATTCCTATGTTTTTGTTCTGTCTAACTGGAGTTTAGTTGTATCACCATACTTTAATTTCTCCAACCTGTACCTAGCTAGTCTTTCTCCCTTCTTTCGGAGCAAACAGGGAATTCATTACTTCATAATTGCTCATTTATGTTTAGTTTTACATTAAATAGCCATTATCGTGCTTATTTTCTCCAATGCATAATTAATTAATTTTCTGTTCTCATACAGAAATGTTAAGTGCTTTCATCACCTATCATGGATATTAATTCGTTACTGATGTGAGTCTGGTTTAACTCTAGGAGAACTTTTTCCTTTGACTTTCTCCTTTTTAGGACAATCTTGGCAACAGTTTGTTCAATCTCTTTTGAAATTGTTACTTTGCCAAAATCCTAAGAATTGAGAACCGTGTTAACCGAACCTTATTTATGTAATTGGAGTTGGAGTAGGAACCAAAATCAACTTCTAACTGAGGAATAATAGATGCAAACGTGCATGAAAAAATATTATTAGATGAAAGGGAAAGATCTGGCACAAAGCACAAGCAAGGGATCGCAATATAGATAAGTTTTTCAATCAACGAGCTTCACAGAAAGTTTATCACTAATAAGGGTGGCCAAATCATTATTATCCAATAGATTGTTGACCATCCAACTTCTCTGATTGTCCGTCCAAAATATTCCGCGACAAGAAGATTAAGGTTAGTTTCATCGTAATTGACACAAACTTGAGGCCAAGTAAGCAAACAGCAGCAACTTGTCTTATCTAATTTAGGCAGGGATGGATACACTTTGGCCAAGGTATTATAATGTCTGTTTTATACTCATATTTTAAAAAATTATCTAACATGTTTTTATAATCACGAGGTAATAATTTTAATCTACATAACAGACTTAAACAAATGTCCCAAGTCATCATACACATTCTCATTACTTATAATTTAGTTAATTAAAATATGATCTCTTTACTCTATTTTTAAATTTTTTATAAAACATTAATACTATTATAAAAAAATAGTATTAATTAAAAACACATTCAATACGTTGCAAATTTATAACAAGTATAAAAAACACAAATGCAATATAAATTTGAGCGTTAAGGTACTAAAGACAAATTAATATTATAAATTACAATACTATTCATTTAAAGTAAAAAATATATTTAAAACTCCATAAAAAAAAAACACTACAGCAAATTTTCAGCAAAGCTAATTCATGGAGTTGCAAGTCTCAGCTATGACTTTCCAAAGGTCTGCCAAAAAATATACAACAACAATAGTTAGTTACATATTATAAGTCAAATTAAAATAAATAATTAAATTGTTTTATCTCATTATTAGTATGGAGTCTCAAAATTTTTATAATTATTTATCTTTCATATTTAAATATAGTTTTAGTCTAATAACACCAATAGAAACTAAAACATTTAAAAAAGTTAAAAATTAAACTATATCATTAATGTTTTGTTTCGGTGAGAAAGAAATAGAGAGAAAACAAATATAAAGAATGGTATATTTTTTATTTGGTTAAAGAAAAAAATGAATATAGATACTATATAATATATATACTTATATCCATATCTATACAATTTTATAAATATATTTATCTGATTATACTGTGAATTTATAATAGAACAATCTTCACTTGAAAATATATTAATGTTGAGTGACCATCCAAGTGGTTAATTAGTTTTGAGATTTAATCTTGTACATAGTCATAACATAAACAATCCAAAGGTAAAGAAAAGGAAAATATTTTCATTGTGCATAATAAAAACATTTTAATATGGGGGAATGAAGAATAGGATGGATTTAGTTCTTACAAATCTAAGATACATATAAAGTGAGAGTTTATTCACTTTTAATTTAAGTTTAAATATTTTATAAATATAAATAACTTTAACAGTTCATAAATACTCAATTTCTCACTGTATACATATTTATTTTAGAATAATTAAATAGAAAAAAAAAATACTACAACCAGCAAGATAACATTTTTTAGCAAAATATGATTGATATCCTAACCTTTATATTATAACAATAAAAAAAATAAAGAATAAAATTTTGATCAAGATGGTATAAAATTTAAAATAAAATAAAATAAAATAGAAAGTATTATTGTCGTTTCGGGTCAAATGGAGGCTAGAATTAGCATACTTCTTTTCTTTTATTTTACCCCTCTCAAACTCATGACGGGATAAAAATAAGAGAAAAAAATACATGTTTGATTTTTTTTAACAACAGTTTTTTTTAAAAATAAAATATAATATAAATTTGTACTGTATTTTATTTTTAAAAATATAAAATTATTTTTTAAAAAATAAATATGTTTTTAAGACTTTTTTATTCTGTTTTGGTTTTTAAAAATAATAAAAATAAAATTTATATTAACCTGTGAATTTTATTTATTTTACTTTTAAAAATAAATAAAGTATGTTTAATTTATTTTTTAAAAATAAAATAAAATATAAAGTATTATATTATATTTTTAAAAACAAAAAAATATTTTTAAAAAAGAAATCAAACATGCTCAAACGAATTTTCAATTTCTTTGAACGATGAAAGAGAAAAAAAGAAAAGTAATTTTTTTTTAGCTCTATCATTTGAAAAACTTACATAGAGAGAAACTGAGAGAGAGCACACAAGAAGGGAGAGGGATATGAGAGGAAAAGAGTTTAGGATTTTTTATGAATAAAATAATTAAAAAATATTTATATAATTAAAAATATGAAAAATATAAATTAAGAAAATCTATGATGATAAAAAATTAAATATCTAATTTTTTTATAATTATTTTTAATATATATATACACTTTTTTCTTACTCATTCAAACAAGTAAAGAAAGATTTTTTTTTCTTATTTCAACCCATCTATTTATTACATTTTTTCACTTTATTTCTCACCTCCTATTTTTTTTTCTCTCTTTCTCACATTATATTCAAACAAAGGGTAAGATTTAACATGGTCCAAACCTCTATCTTAATTTTTTGGGGGCATTTGATTTTTGGATTCCTTTTTTTTTTTTAATCTATCAAAATAAATGACCTATGGAAAACCTGTTTCATTTTAATATTTAATAAAATAAGAGTAACGACATTTGCATAATATCTTCTCGATCCCAACATCTTTTACAACAAGGAGAGAAAAAGGAAGTTTAAAAAGTATATAGAAAAATATCAATGCTATGAAAATAATCCCACCTCCTTTTATTTAGGCTTTCGACATGTAATGATGGCAAACTTAATTAGATCCTTCTTGTATCCTTTTATCATCAATGGCATAGCCAAAGCTCCCTTTACGGTTTTTAGTCCTGAATAAGAGAGACAAAACACAAATAAAAAAGTTCAAGAAGTTCCTACCCAAAGCCAACATAGTTAGAAACAGTCAAGAAATTCTGCAAGGAAATTCAAAGTTTGCCTTGGCAGCAGATATATGATTTTCAATTGTTAAAAAACATTTAACCTTGTTTGTTTTCAAACAATTACATGACTTTTTTTTATTTTTCAGTACATATTTTCAAATCAAATTGATTTTTTCCCTCTTTCATTACCTATTTATTCAAAGAAAATTTTGCTTTATTTATTTTCTTTAATTAATAATCAAATTTAGTCTATCAATATTAAAGACGATGGGATATTGAAAAATCTAGAAGTCACCAATAAACTTAAATATATTCTTATTTTTATAGCATTTTATTTTAGTACCTCCATTTTTTTTATTTGTGTATATTTTTTTAAAATTTTGGTAGTTGCCTTCATGAATGTAGCTGATTAATAGTCTATCACATATATTTTTTTAAAGTTGAGTCAATGAAAAAAATTAATTTATAATGACCGGAAATATAATTAAGGCAATAAAAATTTATCAATTAAATTAATTTTTTATATTTTTCAAATTTGGCATTACATTTTCAATGCCTATTTTTATTTTAATTACCAATGGTAAATATTCTATCAATTGAACTAGCAATTTTTTGTATTTGTCTTTCTCGCTGGTTAGTTATAAAATTTCCGAACTTTCAAGACCTCACTAGTAACAATCCTAAAATCTTCTCAATACTGCATCAGAGACGAACCTGAGTTTTTTTATTTATAGGTAAATAGGCATTTTTCTATGCTTTTTTATTAAGGAGCCTAGCCAAAGTTAAGGGTAAACTTTCTGGAATCTCCTTCCATTTTCACTTCTCATCAAGAAATTAAATTGAGTCATTTATATTCCAATAAGCATTTTCAGGTAAATGTCATTCAAGTGGTACATATTTTAATCTAGTTCATTAACTGAACAAACCAATTATTTTCCTAGCTAACCACAAAGGTTACTGAGTATGGAAATAATTATCAATGAAATAAGATTTGCGATAGGAGATGAAAGTAGTTTTGTTTATAAATGCAATATGAATTAATGTTGAACTTCACCGCTGCGAAAGAGTGAAGTGAGACCCTTCCATGTCAATGCTGAGCGTATCACTGCTGGCCAAAAAGGAGCAACAAAGGGAGACCAATCTGCTGTCTTAATATCCTAAAAAGCAAGAAAGAAAACTTACATGTTAAAATAGAAACACACTTGAACTGTGTACTTAGTGATTGTGTTCGTGATGAGTAGAAGACAGGCAAGTTTTCAAATTGTGGAAGAAAAAACTTAGTAATCTGAATTCTGAAGATTGCACCAAGGCATTGAGTACCTGAAGTGACAGGGATTGGAGCAGTCTGACATAATCAGAAGTTGAAGACCATGCTGGAAGGTAATAAGCATCGCATATCCTCTTCAAAAGATCTTTCTCCCACGGATGTAAGGAATCTTCAGCAGGGCCAAGATCCCTGTGGCACCATGTTACTATTATTATGGTTCCACCTGGTGCTGCTACCCGAGCTAACTCTCCAACAAACTGTCAGTAGTGTATGAAGCGGGAAACTCAGATGAGATTAATTTCCAGCACAAAGAAGAGGATAAACAAAAACATTCAAGTGTATAATCAATGCAAAGGCAATAAGGCAATAATGGCTAATCTGGTGTCAGAAATAATTGAGTCCAATTCAATATCACAAGTAATACTATTAATTATTGGAAGAGTTATTGAAACCTTTGCTTTGTTAGGCATATGCTCTCCACTCTCCATGGACCACACTAAATCAAATTGCCCATCGGGGAATGGTTGCTCTACAGCGTCAGCCACTAGAAAGGAAACCTGCACTTGCAGATACATGAAAGCGTGTGATTTGTACACTCCCTTCACTCCTTTTCTTTTCTTTTCTTTTATTGTTTTCTATATTTATATATGTTCCAAATTTTGGTAATTTTAGAAATCTAAGGTTCATTTAATTTTTTTAACTTCACCCTTATTTAATAATACAGATCATATTTTTAATTAATCACTTAAAAATCACTTTTTTTTATCTATTAAATAGTATTTTTTTTAATAAAGAGCAACAAACAAAATAGGTAAAGTTTAAATAAAGGTATTGTAGTCAAGATCAGCTAATAGTGGTTTTATTAAAGGATTATTTAAAACATTTTAAAACAGAAATTTTTATTAAAAAAGGAAAATATTCATTATATAAAATATAATAAATGCTTTTTTAGTTGTTTTTATTATTATTGGATGCTTGAAATTAATTCTAAAGATTAATGTTAGTCAAAGTGTATAAATAATTCTTCAACTTCATTTCTTTTGTTATTTAAATAAATATCCATTACATTAAAAACACAAAAATATAATAAATATTTTTTGTGTTATTATTTTATTACTTTTGGATATTTAAAATGAGCTCTAAAAGTTGCTGTTATATGTTTGTCTTATTCTATATTTTATACATGAGGATGAATTTCGTCGATATAAAATTTGGATGAGATTACGTCTATGAGTATATTTGGAGCTTTTAGCTTAATGATTTATGCTTTTAAAAAATGAAATTGAGATAAATGATACAAAGTGGAATGAAATATATAAGAATAAAATATAATGAGGTTAGATTGAAATATAAATGATAATAATAATAATATACTTAAAATACTACAAAAATAATCTACTCTTAAAAAGTTTTGTTTGACTTTTGAAATACACTGGATTTTTTTATTATTTTAAATAATACTAATAACACATTTCTAGCATATTTTTTATGATTAATTAAAATTTATTAAAAATTTTAAAAAATAATGTATGATTCACTTTTAAATTTATATTTATATTTTATATTGTTTTAATTTTTAATAAATTTTAGTTAATAATAAATATTTTATATCATTCGTCTTTTATCTATTGTGAAATTTTGCAGCTCATATTTGCATTTCACGGCTTTGAAGGCCGGAAATAAAAATGGTGGGCTCCACTGAAATTATTGAATTTCACTCTTTAATTCCAAATGAAGGAAGTGAACAAAACTTTTCATGTTTCAGTCTTTATATATTTATTTCAGCCCACTGCATTTCATTCCATGCAAACGAGCCATTGGTTGATAAAATAGTAGAGTTGGTTGGTGAAACAAGAAATAAAAGCTTAAAAATTGTCTAAAGTAAGGTTAAGTTTCTAAAAATTAATTACTAGTTCATTTTATTTTATTTTTAACCTTTTAAATAATTTACCATCACAATAATCTTATTCTTACAAAAAGTCTCCTTTACTCCACCACCTCCCTTATTTATTAATTGATTTATGATAAAATAAATATGTAATTATTTAATTAAAAAATCGATAATAAATAAATAAGGAAAAGAATCTATAATAATATTTCTTAGATAAATATACAATTAATTTTATCTAACAATTATAATTCAATTAGTTAATTACTATAAACTTTTAAATATAAATTTTGAAGTAACTTAGAGATAGAGACTACAAATTTATTATAACTTTGAGGTAATATAAAAGAATTTTGGGCGGCATGCATAAAATGTGTAAGAGAAAGACCTTGTCAGAGAATCCTTGAGCAGCAGCAATAGCATTAGCTCTTTCAGCTTGAACAGGACTCAGAGTGATGCCTACGCTCTTTGCCCCATACTTTTTGGCCAGGTATCTCGTGCTGCCCCCTATGCCACACCCAACATCAACTATACTCTTGGGCCATGTGTCACCCTCCTCTGAGTTTCAGAAATAAATTATAATATTATATTTTTAAAATAACTCAGAAAATATAACAGATGGTAAAAACAATACCAGAAAGAGCAGCAAAACGAAGGGACTCCTCGATCATTCGGATCTGAGCATCTCGGTGATCCGAAGCAGAAACGGTCGAATTAGGGTCGTAAAAGCCATGGTGCATATGATCACCCCAAATGTCCTCCCATATCCTAGACGACTCGTCGTAGAACTCCGCGATTCCCCTCTGCAGTTGCTTCTCCCTCTTCTCCTGTTGCTCCAATGCCATCACTTCAGTTGATTGGCATAGCTAACAGCGGTATCCATGAAGCGTTTTATAGACAATTCTTGAACAAAATAGTAAGAAAATTAAACTTTATAACCCGTATATATCCATATATATCATCACCAGGACTAAACCCCGAATGCCCATCAACTAACTCATGCATGTGATTAAACTAACTCATCCTCAATTATTTTTGTTAGTTTCGAAGGTCTGCATTTAATTAAGTAGCTAGCTAGCTTATCCCACTGTGTACTTCTGTTTCTCTCGAAATAAGTTAGAAAGCTTTACATGGGAATTTACTTCAGATATTATAATTAATACCGTTCAAGTTAAAATAAATGTATATTTATATAAATTTTAACGCAAAATCAAACATTATTTATATAAAGATTTTGGTAAGTTCAACTCTTAAGACTCAGAATAAACACTTAAGAATAATAAAATTTTATTAAAAATAAAAATATTTATTATATTTTTATAACTTCAATATAATAATTATATATTTTTTTATAATAATTTTTTATTTGTAGATGTTTAAACTCAACTTTAAGGTTAAAATTAATAAAACTCTTTTATATAAATAATGAAGCATATTAATATATAATTCTTTAATAAGACTACTTAAAAATACTAGCTGTATAAATCTACAGTCCGTTAATAAATTAGTCATAATATTTTTTGTAATAACTTTTTATTACAATACTTCTTTTAAAAAAATTTGCATTACATTACACTCTATTTTGTAACTCTTACTGAAAATTTGTATAACTTTTTTTTTTCTAAATTAAGATAATCATATTTAAATTGACTATGATCTAATATTATGGTTGATGACAATTTATATTAGAATTTGTTGAGATTTAAACTCGATTTTTGTAGAATTTTGCTACAAATTTAGTACTACTCTAAATATTTGAATTTTCTCCAACTTTGTTAACCTTGGCCGGCTCCTGGTTAAAACCCTTATCTATAGGTGGTGCTCAAGTCAAGCTTGGGATATGAAAAACGTGTAGATGCATGACAACGATGGAACCATGGTTGGGCTCCACATAACTCGTCAAGCTACATAAGTTTAGTGGTCCATGGCTGTGTTTCCCCATTCACAGGTGTCATGCCACAAAAAAGAAGGAACACCTATCGTTGCTTCGCTGTGTTCTTGTTTTCACTTCTAACGTAAGGACTCATTTGCTTCATCGTTTGTTTGGAAAAGAAGAAAGGAACCAGAGGGGGAAATATATTTTTTGGTTAAAGAGAACAATGTTGATTAGAAAAGTTAATTTTAATTAAAAAAATATCAATCTATTAAATGCAATTAGAATCTCTGTGTTTAAATTAATCATAATTATACCAAGGGATCATATGATGCATGAAATTAGAATTGGAGTTCAAACTGAAATTTTAATTCTAATTCTATCATAATTAGAATTGCTTTAAAATAATATTTCTACGTTTAACGTATTTAAATAATTAAAATTTAGAATATAAAATTAAAATTCTAAGTTAAAATCAAATTTTACAGTATAAATGTAAAATTTAAATTTTTAAAAAATAATTTAATTTTGCATTAAAATTTTATTTAATAATTTTTTAAAAAATAACGTGTTAATTAAAAATACAAAAATAATTATTAAATAATTTGTTAAAAATGATATAATTAAATAATAAATAATTTTTTTTTAAAATTATGATATAATAAATTTATTTTTTATATTAATTTATCATTAAAATTTAATATTATATTATAAATTTGATGAAAATATATGAATACTCATAGATATAATTTAATTATCAAAATTTAAAATAAATTAAAAATATCATCCTTAAAACATAAAATATAAACTCAAAAGTATATAATATTTATTAAAAAAAAAAAGACAATAAAGAGAGTAAAATTAGACATATTGTCAAATTGATCATTTCTTGATTTGTATAAAGATTCAAGATTTCCTAAGTGCATTAGGAATATCTTTAAACGACTCATACTTCCTTGAATCACCCATCAAAATATTATAAGCTTGGAGCAATTCTAATTCTTCTAAGTATGTTACTCTTAAAAGTTTAGTGAAGATTTCTTCAACACTTACCTTAATAGTATAAGATAAATAAGTCTTGTTGACAGTGTCAGCCACATGAGAAACAACAGATAAAAAGGGATTATTAGAGCAATTTCTCTTTTTTTAAAAGATTTGATTGCTTAGTTACATGTAGTGTAAATTCACGCATATTACATAATGGGTCCTCAAAATATTTGCATCAACATTATTTTTATTATGTTCCTATTTAATATCTTTCTTGGCTTCAACACTAGTCTTAGCACCTTCTCCTGTAGCACGATCTTGTCACAAATAATTGCTAAATCTTTCTAATTTTCAATTTCTTTGTATCTGTAACTACTTACTTCTGGATGAGATTGAAAATAAATAATACCAAATAATATTAATTCAATAAATATATTAGTATAAAAAATTGGAAAATAAAAGAGAGACTAAGCTTAAGTTCATGATACATTGACAAGATTGTTCTTGACCTTTTTGAGACCCTAGACAAAATAGGAAATTAGGGCTCCTTAAAAAAATTATAAAATGTAATAAACAAAATAAAATTATATATTAATAATTTTATTAAAATAATACATTTTTTAAGTGGCTATAATTTTTTCTAATAAAATTATATAAAATTTTTTTTTTCATTCAAACAACTCCTATATTATAATTAACTACAAAAATGCAAAAAATCATAAAAAAATAGGTTCTACAAGCATTCTGAGATGTAAAATTATTAATGATAACATTACCATTAATGTTTTTTAAAAATTCTTTATCAATTGATAAAATTGTGAGACCATTCAACGTATCTTGTGACATTGATGACTTTAAGTAGGTTTTGATTAACTTTAACTCTAAAAAACTTCTTTCAGTTCATGATATAATCTCCGGGACCGTAAAATAAATTCTATAAGTGATTAAAACATTTAGATAATAATATGAAGATTTGACAAACTCAATAACTGTTTAAATTTTTTGGAGAAAACTAAAATTTTTCATGAGTTTTAATGTTAAGAATGGTAAAATTTTGTAATTAAATGAATTTTTGAGTTTTCAAAAGTTAATGAGTTGAACGTTTATAGCAAGTGAGATGCGAGGAATTAGAATGTCTTTTTTGTTTTTTCTATTTTTTCCAATTGCAAACTATAAGAGCTGAATTTTTTTTTAAGTAAAAGTAGGACACGATTTTTACTTTGGGTCCTCTTTTAAGCTTAGGCCCTAAGAGATCGTACCTTTAAACTACCCTCAAAACCGAGCCTGTACCTTGATATAGTCTTCCTAAACTTGATCACTGTCAACCTTCACCATGTTGCGTTGCCAATCCCAACCAAAGCCAATGCTGCCAAGCATACTAGCAATGATAGAACAATGTTTATCCTAAGTTTTAAGGTGAGACACAACATTGTCCTTAGTGATTAAAAATCGCATTGTTCTCTTATGCCATTTATAATTGTAGAGTACACAACTGGTTTCCATCTATTAGGTACTTTATTTCCTATTTTATGTTGTTCTCAAACTATTTAATCTAATTAGCATAGATCTTATTAAAAACTACTTTCACTTGTCATGTTCTATAGCTTCGTTTGTAGGGGGTGAGTATTTGATATATTCTTTGGTTAGACCAATAATTGTTGTTAGAACTTCACCAAAACATCTACTAATAGTCTTTATGAAATGAATATAAGTGTCTCTCAGAACTCTTATTTTGAGATCATGAGTTAAAATAAATAAAAACGTTTTAATGGATTCTTCTACGCTTACATGACAAGTATCATGTAGTTTTCCTTTTTCGTACGTAAATGTTGCAAAACTAAAAAAAAATAAATTTATTTAGTAAGACGTAATTGATTATAGTAATTTTTATCAGTCCCATGATATAATCCCCTCAAAAGTATACTTCTTTTTGTATCTTTATCACTCTCCTTTATTGGCTTTCTATGTATATTTGTTTGTTTATACTATAAAGCTATTGTAGCCATTGTAATAACTGTCACATTTAGCCCTAGTTTTTTTTTTCTCTTGTACTCTTCATAGTTCTTGAATTAATTTATAAAATTTTTTCTGACATCTAATAATTCAAGAAAAATATCAAATAATTTATCATACAATTAACATAAACAATATAATTTGCATCAAGTGCATAAAAACAATACAATGCAGTTTGCTACAAGTGTAGAAAGTGCATAATAGCAATACTATACAGTAATGTAAAATATTAAACATTTAAGAAATGTAAAAAAGTAGAATGAAAGAAAAAGATGTAAAAGAAGAAAAGGAAAAACAAGAGGAAAAGAAATAGAGAAAAATCACTTTTATTAATAATCAAAGTCAAACGAAGAAGAAGAGAATAGAGAAAAAAATAAGAGAACATAAGAAAAAAGTGGTATTGATAATCAACATAAAAGTTAAGTTAAAAGGAGAAAATAATATAGAAAAATAAGAGAGCATAGGAAGAGGAAGAAAACTACATAAGACAAAAAGAAAATAAAAGAAAAGGGAGAGGAAGAAAGTACTTGAGAAAAAATAGGAACCACGGAAATGAAGAAGAACGATACGTGAAAGTGAATTTGTGATTATGATATTAAGAATTCAACTTTCAAGCCAATTTATTTAGTTGTCATATAATTGTTCCACAGAATTAATCCATAAAATTATAATTCTAATTCCAAATAGACATTCAAACATAATAATTAAAATTTTGAAACTCAATTTCAATTTTAATGTCTAATTTTATATTCAATTTCGTACATTAAACAAGTACTAATAGATAATTAACTTAAATGTTATATATATATATATATATATTTTAATAGGATCATAAAGTTATACCTTGCATATAGAAAAAGTTCACACTAAATAAATTAGTCTCGTTACATTGAAGATATGTGTAGTCAAATATAATTATCTTTTAGTTTTATGATGAAAAGTTAGAAAATTTTAAATTAACATGTTTTACATTAAAATTAATCGCAATTATATTTTTACATTAAAAACTAACATGTGATGAGAAGTTAGAAATTTTCAATTTTGTCAATTTATTTAATTCAACATTTTTAATTTATATTTTTTAAATTTATTTTGTTAAATTTTATACTTTTTTTTTACCTTTTTTATTGTCTCATTCATTATATTTTTTCTTTTTCAATATTTTTAATTTATATTTTTAAATTCATTTTGCATAAATTTTATACTTTCTTTTGTCTTTTTTTCTTTTGTCTTTTTTTATCGTATCATTCATTATATTTTTTGTCTTTTTTTATTTGTATCTCTTTTCTTTTCACTTTTTTTTACCTTAGACAATGGCTCGTGAAAAACATTATCCCAAAATTTATTTACATACTTGTTCGATGGACAAATGTACTTGTCAAAAATTAATAAAAAATTTTAAAATAAATTCTAAAATTGTTGTCTCACAAGAACAATGAGTCAATGATTGATTTTCAATTATTAATAATGTAAAATTAAACATTATAATTCAAGATTTAAAAATAATTATCACCAGATCTCAAAAGTATTACAATGCACGTCTTTAGTAGAAATTATAGAGAAAGAACCTAGAGCATAGGGGTTTACTCATTCAATCATTTATGTTTTTTTTTTTAATTAACTATAGATTTGATTTCTTTGTAACTACCAATCATTTATACAATTACTATTAATATCCAATGGTCATGCAATATTAATATTCTTTTCTCTAAATTAACATCTTCAATGGTCATACAAAACATCAGTTAGAAAAAACATGAAAAACTTATAAACTTGATAATCTAATAACGATTGGAAGATAAAGATTGATTTGATCCACCTAATCCTTTGTCTCATTTTATCTTTCAGATCCATTAATTAATCGAGGTACAGTTGCCTGACAACGTAATTAATTAGAGTTATGTTACAAATAGCTAATTCACAACACATAATAAAGCACAGTAAGATAAACACTAATCACAAACGGAAATCAAACCTAAATTTAATCATCAAAATTTCATAAAGTAATGAAGAAGGGTTCTCATAGTCCTAGTTATGGATTTAGTTATTCATGCTGAAGAAAGAAACTAAAGCAAGTGTAAATATACCCATAAACAAAGATGAAAAACAAACTAGAAAGAAGATTCTGTTCTTCAAGTCTGATTGCTTGAAGTTTCAAATCACCCAAAAATGTGCTAGAGATCCCATGCATAAGAGATGAGGGAGTTAAATAGAAACTCAGAAGTGGTGTAAATTTTTTTATTATGAGTTGCTACCCCGAGGCCTTCTTTTATAGGGTTTTAAGCCCCTAAATCATGTTGAGTGTGTGATTTGCATGGGTGAGCACGACCATGCCAGTTGGATGCATGATTGTGTTTATACTGGAAACATAGGCGTGCCTAATCGCATCATGGCTGTGCATGTTAACAAAACATGGACTTGCTAATAAGAGAAGATTGGTCGTGCATGATAGTTAAGCATGAACGTGTTGATAACTGGAGATTGGGCATGCATTATTTTTAGTGGCCTAATTCTCTTGAAATTGTGCCTAAAATGTCCATAAGTCCTTTGAATCTTCATACATGTCATCTACAACACTTAACGAGATAATTAGTGTAAAAATACATTCAAATCAATAATAAGTGCCTATGAACATGGTAGAAAAATATGTCAAAATACAAACTTATCAATACTCATTTATATAATAATTTACTAACACAAATAACGCAATTCCACATAACTCATAATCACAAGGAATAGATAGAGTTATAAGTGAATTAAATTACCATATAAATTATTTAAATAAACTGAATAAATAAGTTTAAATTTATTTGTTTTGTGTTCACAGGTTATTTATTTTCCTTTACATATTATTTTAATTTATGTTATAAATTAAGATTTTTTTTATCATAATCTTTTTAATAATTGTAAAAAAATTCAATTTATAAATCAAAACTAATATTTTTGTTTTCAAAATTTTAAACATAACGTAAAACAAAATTCTATAAACAATAGTTAATGAGAAATGTGTTTTTGTTCTACAGACATTCTGTTCTTTCTTATAGACAAAAGACGGCCTAATCAATATCAACCAAGGGATTGTTGACCATCCTCCATCCACAAGGCTTTACTTTGTTTTATCAACAAACAGGCGAAGGACAAGCCAGACAGCAACCACAGGTTCGTATCGATTTCTCTCCTTTTTCAGGACTTTATTTTATACAGCCCCTCCAAATTTCAATTCTAAAATTAATATTTTGAAATTTTTTTAATATATTCTACAATTAAATTGTCAGAAGACTCCAAAAAACAGATGCCATGAATAAAAGAAATTTCCTTTTTGGGTGACCGTCAAAGTGGTTAGTCTTGTGTTTTCCCACCAGATGGCATGAGTTTAATTCACAAGTAGACAATCCAAAAAGGAAAGAAAAAGAAAATACTCGAGTCATGTAACAAAGAACTGTTGAGCATAGTGTGGGCACATCATAATACGGGGAAACATATGACAGGAAAAGAAGGGAGTAATCCACAACCAAGTAGGGGAGAACAGCATTTTTTAACATATCAATTTCCTAACTCTACTTATAAACGATAAGAAGACTGAAGGCTAAAATTTTGATCGTGATGGAATAACAGTCTCGATTCAAAATAAAATAAAACATGTAATGAGGTATTATTGTCTTTTTTGTTCAAATGAAGGCTAAGCAAGACCTTCCATTCAATTTCACCCCTCATGCTCAAAAGGATTCCACATGGCCCAAGTCCGTATCTTGATAATTTCTTTTTAATTTTATCTTGATTTATTCGATTCTATGCTTATGTCAGAAATATTTTAGAACATAAACGAAAAGGAAGATATCGGTAAATCCCAACCCCTTTAATTTCTTTTTCTCTTGTTTCTGAACTATCAGAATAAATGATATGCTGGAAACCTGTTTCATTCTATAAAAATAAGCCTGCCTTCACTTATTTAGGCTTTCGACACGTAATGATGGCAAATTTAATTAGATCCTTCTTGAATCCCTCTATCATCAATGGCATAGCCAGAGCACCTTTTATGGTTTTTAGTCCTGTCCAAAAAGTAACAAAACACAAATCAACAAGTTTAGCAAGAAGTTTCAAGTTCGGGACAAAATTATAACAAGGACAAGTCAATAAATTCTGCAAGGAAATCCAAAATCCGCCTTGGCAGCAAATATTTAATTGTTCAAAAAAAAAATTCGTGCATAATAAAGTTTTTTTTTTTTAAAAGAAAAACGAGTCTTTTTCTTTGCTCTAAAGAGTAGAATAATTTAAGCATACTTTTCTTTCACATATTTACATATCTTCCTTTGAACATTTTTTCATGCGTGCTTGATCGGTTCACTATGGAGCCTAGTCAACATGAAAGGAATATTTGATAGAAGTGAAAATGGAAGGAATGTAGGTAACCTACCATTTTTCAACCTTAATTATCATCAACTATGTTATTAGATGTAAGGGTTATTGAGTATGGAAATAATTATCAGCGGCATGATAACAGGTGTCGAGCTTACCACTACGAAAGAGTGAAGTGAGACCCTTCCATGTCAATGCTGAGCGTATCACTGCTGGCCAAAAAGGAGCCACAAAGGGAGACCAATCTGCTGTCTTAATATCCTAAAAAGCAAGAAAGAAAATTTACATGTTAAAATAGAAACACACTTGAACTGTGTACTTAGTGATTGTGTTTATGATGAGTAGAAGACATGCAAGTTTTCAAATTGTGGAAGAAAAAACTTAGTAATCTGAATTCTGAAGATTGCACCAAGGCATTGAGTACCTGAAGTGACAGGGATTGGAGCAATCTGATATAATCAGAAGTTGAGGACCATGCTGGAAGGTAATAAGCATCGCATATCCTCTTCAAAAGATCTTTCTCCCACGGATGTAAGGAATCTTCAGCAGGGCCAAGATCCCTGTGGCACCATGTTACTATTATTATGGTTCCACCTGGTGCTGCTACCCGAGCTAACTCTCCAACAAACTGTCAGTAGTGTATGAAGCGGGAAACTCAGATGAGATTAATTTCCAGCACAAAGAAGAGGAGAGACAAAAACATTCAAGTGTATAATCAATGCAAAGGCAATAAGGCAATAATGGCTAATCTGGTGTCAGAAATAAATGAGTCCAATCCAATATCACAAGTAATACTATTAATTATAGGAAGAGTAATTGAAACCTTTGCTTTGTCAGGCATATGCTCTCCACTCTCCATGGACCACACCAAATCAAATTGCCCATCGGGGAATGGTTGCTCTAGAGCGTCCGCAACCTGAAAGGAAACCTGCACTTGAAGAAACATAAAGGAAAATATTATATATTTATATTAGCTACATGTTAATAAATTGTAGTTATTAAGACGCTTGGTGAGAAATACAGTAATATTCTTTGACAATTTTGTACAGCATGCATTAAGTGTGTAAAATAAGATAAACAAAAAATATGGCGACAATACAAATACCCTGTCAGCCAATCCTTGAACAGCAGCAAGAGCATTTGCTCGTTCAGCTTGAACAGGACTTAGAGTGATGCCTACGCTCCTTGCGCCAAATTTCTTGGCCATGTATCTTGAGCTTCCCCCTATGCCACACCCAACGTCAACTATACTCTTGGGCCATTTGGCAGTGTCCTCTGAACACTCAGAAACAAAGTACTGGTCAATAGCCAGTTTCAAATCACTAAAAGTAACAAGAACAAGAATATTACAATTATTATTGTCATTATTTAACGTCGATGATACTGTTGAGCCATTAGGTAGGGTCCTCTGACTGTGAGCACTCAGAAACAGGCTAGTAGACAGTATTCAGCAGCCAAACCATTCACAAAAATAAAAAGAAAAAGCATAACTTGAATTCCAAATCCAAATGAAAACGATTATTATTACTTAACATCTCTTGACAGTACCTATAAACGCATCCGAAATTCTCTAAACATAATTCTTTTAATTTATAACTGAAATCATTTTGTTGAGGAAGTTCTCACACAATCGATTCAATTAGATGTTCTGAAGTCTAATACAATTTTAGTGAATCTGAATGTATTAATATTTAATAATTGCAAAGACAGTCAATAAGAAGGGTAGAAAGCAGAGTAGTAGTAGTAGTAGTTGGTATAAAAGTAGTACCAGAAACGCCGGCAAAACGAAGCGACTCTTCGATCATTCGGATCTGAGCAGCGCGATGATCCGAAACGGAAACGGTCGAATCCGGGTCGTAAAACCCGTGGTGCATATGGTCACCCCAAATATCTTCCCATATGGCAGACGACTCGTCGTAGAACTCAGCGATTCCCATCTGCAGTTGCTTTTCTTCCTTCCGGTGCTGCTCCAATACCATCTCCTTCATCCCAGAACTTGCTGCTGATACTCGAATGGAAGTCCGATACCCGGGTCCGACCCGGATTCTGGAGAAAGTCATATTCTTGATCGGGAGCTGTGGGGATTGGGTACGAAACGTGTGGATGCATGACATTGGTGGGTTGGTTGTCCCCATAGCCATTTTTTCCTCCCCAGTCACGGACACGGGTGGTCAAGCAACTATAAATAGCAAAACTTGAGTCTTGTTATCAATAGAATCTGTTGCCTTACACGGCTCAACATTTCAAAACATTTCTGTGGATGTGACTCCATTTTGTGGATTTATATGCTGCCCAACATGGAGAGTGTCGTGTGCAGAATGAAAAATTTTTCTTTATCTTTATTCCTCAAAAATAAAATTTTAAATATTAATACTTAATATTAATAAATCCCAATAGATTTAGCTTTTATTATTAAAAAATATTAAAATTGAATAATAATTTGTCAATACATATAAATTAATAACATTTTAAAAATCTTTAAAAAATAATTCACTTTTACTTTTAACTTTTTGAGATTTTTTAGCTTTAATTTTCATTTCTTTTGTTTTTCTTTTGGAAATTTATCCATCTCATGTGGCAGTTGTAATGACATTTGAGATGAATGACAAGCTAAAAGTGGTGAGCACCGTAGATGAAAAGCAAAAGAAATCCTCTCTACTTAATGACATTTATCCAAACTTGCTATCACATTAGAGATCCAAATCTAAAGTTTGCTTCCCTTACATCTGAAAACTAATTTATATCTGGTTCGTTTGAGTTGATTTGATGTCTATGACAAGAGAAGTTGTTGCATTGACAGTGTAACAAGTAGATCTAGATCTTAGTAGTAAGGTAAAAAAAGAAGAAGATAGATAAGTTTTCAAAGAGAAAGACAAATAAGATGAAAAATATTGATGTTCAAAAATATGGAAAGGCAAAAGGAACAGAGATCTGAATTGCAAAAATTATTTTATATTTAGAATAAACTATAACGTATCACTTAATTTAATGTTTTTATTATATTTTAATTTTTAATAATAAAAACTAAAATAATTAACCACTCTTAAGAGTATAAGAAGAATGACATTTTAAATTTTAAATTTTAAAGATTGATTTGATAAATAATATACATTTTCAAATATTAAAGTAAATATTTATTCCTTTAACTAATTATCTTTGACAAATTTATTGGTGTGTAAATTTTTAATATTATTAATTAATTAATTTTTTTAGTAATATTATAAAGTTTAACTTCAGTTGATTTTTGGGTATGTAAAATTGTTATATTATTAATTATTTAAATGATTTTTTATAAGTATTAAATAAATTTTATCAAATATTTTAACTTATTATAAAAACATGTATTTAGTATTTTTATATTTTTATCGTGGGTAAATATACATTAGAAAAATACTAATTATTGAGCTAAAAAAAATACTAATTAAGTTATATTATTAGTATCATATTTGAATTAATTATTATAAAGTTAATAATTCTTATAATATTATTAATATTTTAATTATATTATTTATAAAGTATAGTTAAATATATTTTTTATCCTACAAAATTATTATATCTTAATTTTTATTATTATTTTATTTTATTCTTTTCTGATAATAGGAAAAGTTTTCAAAAAATCGTTATTAATAATTTTTTTATATGTATTAGTCGGTTTGAATTATTGATAATTTTTAATATTTTAATTTTTAACATTTTAATTTTTAACAATTTTTAGAAAAATTATCAATAACAATTTTTGATTATATATATATATATATTTGTATTATAACTTTTTTATTTTTATAATTTTAAAATCTTATATTTAAGTATATATTATTTTTTAATACCATATAAAAATAAAAATAAAATCCTCCGAGGGATTTCTGGATTTTTCGAATCTAAGAAGCGAAACAGAAAATCCTCCTTCTGCTTCAGTACCAATCCCAATTGACCACTAGAAATACGCAACTTATCGAATGAAGACGATGATTGGGCTCCTCGTCACCACTCACAAACGGCCACGTCGCCATATGAAGGAAAACTATCCTTGCTTTTTTTTTTTCTGATTCCTTCTCAGTACATACTTTTCCAGCTTCTTGTCATTCATTTCCGAGAAATGCTAAGAGTGCTTCAAAATTTAATAAATATAAATATAAATACAAATTATTTCATAAAATTAAGGAAGACCCGTTGTTGCTTTCTCTGCTGTCGTTTCTACCCTAAGTCCCTATCCCCGTGTTACTATGAAGAATGTTTCAGAAACTTTTGCCGTACACGTCACAACCTTTTGCCTCACCCGTCGAACTTACAGTATTTTTTTTTTTCTTTTTATCTCAGCAAATTCTAATCATCACTGTTCGTTACAACACTAATTGGGATAATAAAAATGAACCCATATTTGATAAAAAGTATTTTCGAAAATAAAAACATAAAATTATTTAATATTTGTGACTTGGTCTATATAATAATTTTTCTTTTACATTAAATATTTTTAAGTGTTAGATGTGTTACTATGTATGTTTAAATATAATGTATTTAGCTTAATATATATTATTTACGCTAGGAAATACTTAATCCGTCCTAACCAAATAAAATAAAAAGACATTTTTATTCTTGAAAAATTAAAAACTTATAACCATGTAGTCTCTTAAGATTATAAGTGCAAAGCACTTTTATTTTATATTTGTTTGAGTTGATGGTTTTGGGATTGAGTTACTAATAATTTTGTCCATGATAAAATTGATATGAAATTTTTTAGAGACTAATTATATGTTAAAAATAAGAATTGCCTGGAGTACCTTAAAAACCGTTGATACTAAGACCTTAAGATACGCTTCAAGATAGCTTTTCTTGAATTGTAGAGAGAAGGATCATTTGCTCCTTTTTGCTAGGTTTCCTTAACCTGATTTCCTTTTCTCGTAGCGCTGCTCCATCTATAGGAGTACTTTTAGAGACGTGCAACAGATTTTACTAGGGCTGTTGCCCTCAGTCCTATTGGCTTCAACAAGAAGTCTTCATGGCAAGGGTGGAAGTGGAGAAAAGATCCATAGAAGAGGTAGATCTACTACTTCAAAGTAAGAAGAAGGTCAAAATGGAAGCCGCGATTACTCATAAAGAGTCAAATAATTGTATGCAGGAATATCCTCACTGTTCTTTTCCTCCAAATTAGGTTCCTTCTAACCCTAGCTCTCCGATTTGCATGTTGTATAAGGATAAAGTTCTTGTTTCAAAAGAAATAAATATGGTCTTAGGTGATGAGGAAATTGTTAAATCTGTTATAGAGGAGCTTAATATTTCCCCAGAGAGCGAAGATTCCAACTTAGATAATGACAAGACCAAAGATTTATGTTCTGAAATTAGAATATCTCTAGAGGATTACGAGCAATGGTGCTTGATAGACGATGCTGAGTCGCTATCAAAACAACTAAGTTTCAATAAGGATTTTGCAGTATAGACCTCAACCTAGGTTGATTCCTAGAGATACATCTTCAGTTAAATTCAATTTTAGGTTCTTTAAAAATAATATGAGTAAATTTTAGGGGTTTAAAAACTGTGAATTTATTAAATTAAATTACGAACAAATTAAAATTGGGTAGAAACAAATTAAGAAATATCAATCCAAAGAATACTAAATACGTGTAACTCCGATTATCACACAATGTAAAGATTTTAATTCGAGTTTGAACGTTTACCTAATTCAATTATTAATTCAATCAAATAACGTAATTGCACTAGATCATGAATTAAATCAAATTATCATTTAACTTGACCCGAATTAATTATCAAATTAGAATATCAATCGAATCCTAATTTAAATTCTAACAATAGAAAAGTTAATCACAATCACAATATACAAACCTGAGGTTAGAGAAAAAGCGAACAAACTCAAAACAATTTGGCCCATAACTCTAATCGGAATTACAATGTTTAGATTCCGTGGATTGAATGTGAAGTTTAGCCTTCCATCGAAGCACTTAACCCACGCAAGAATGAGAAGAAAACGAGAGAATTTGAGAGAAAGTAAAAACAAGGATTCTTATTTTGGCTAAATTTCAAAAGCTCAAAGTGTTTAATTTTAATTGCACACACCACTAATTTAGAACCTTATTAGTCTATTTATAAGTTCTGATTAGGGTAAATTAAGTGGCCGAATTTGGGCCTTAATAATATTTAACAGTCTAAATATAATTATTAAATAATAAGGGTCCAAATGCAATCCTGCAACAATATTCAGTAAATCTGCCTCAACTTCAAAATATCAAAAAAATAAAAAACAACTTCAAATCCAGTGATACGTACATATATGGTTCTAGCTCCTCCTCCTCCTCTCCAACCAAAAACACTCTCTTTAATGATCAGGAGAAACAGTCTCCTGAAATCACACCAAAACATAACCTCTTCGACGAAGAAGTTCGCTTTGAAGAGATCAACCAAAGTATGGATGACTGGACTATTCCAGAAATCCCTCAGGATACATTATATGTTCCTGAAGAACACTCCAAGAAAAACAGTTTTGAATATCAGTGATAAACAAAGTAGTCTCACCTCTTTGAGATTTGAGAAGGACTCTAGAAGCACAAGAGTTCATAGCTTTGTACTGAATCTTATAGATTAATGCAGCGGGAATAGATCCCTCTTTCATGTTTAAACCATGAAAGCATATATTAAGGAACAGAGAGTCAAGGATTTGTTCATCTAAAAGACTCACTATTTTGTTTGGAAAACAATTGAAATAAATTGGTCCTTGGCCAAGACTAGTTTCAACTGTACCTATAAGGGAGTCATTGAAATCATTATGGCGAGCATCTCTAAGATACATAAGGATAGCAACATCTATACCTGTGTCTATGAGAGGTTTAATGACAACTTGGACACATCCTATGTGGAGGTACTTGTATTTACGCTTGTGTTCATTGATGGAGGATTTGGACATGAGATGAAATTCTTCTCCTAAGTCTTTTCCTAAAAGGATATTGTTTTCAACAGTTTTAATAATATAATCAAAACTATTTTTTTTAGAGTGTTCTTCAAGAACATATAATGTATCTTGAGGGTTTCTGGAATAGTCCAGTCATCCAGGGGCCTGTCAGCTGTCCAGCCTATAAACCATGGTTACAGAATTTTAAAAGAAATTTAAAGTCCAGATTCATAAGAACACAATTATAAATAATCAACAGTTATATTCCTTTCTAGGCATCTTACTTATCCTGTAAATATTCACGGGTAAGGTAGTTAGGAAGAGAGTTGGAGGTGCCTTTGAGATATTCTATATCGAAAGCAAAAACACTTAAAATTATTTGTCATCTTGCAAAGATTGAGTTTTTTTTTATCAT